CGGGCAGGGCCTGACTCATCCCTCATTGGCTGCGCCGCGCGAGCCGCCCGCCCCCATTGGCTGCACCACGCCCCGCCCGCTGCTGAAGAGCCTCCGGCAGCTCCCCGCCCCGCGAACCGCCGAGCCACGCCCCCGGGCCGCCCTCACGCCCGACCAATGACCTCATGACAGGCGCAGCACTCCCGCAGAGCGCCCATTGGCCATGCGACCCGCTTGTAATGGTGGCGACACCGCCCCTCGAGCGGAGGTAGAGCCCCCTCGGTGATTCACTGAGCACAAGATGGCGGCGCTGGCCGCCCGCCAGGGCCCAGGCGGGGCCGCTGCCGCCGCCGCCATTAGGCCCCTTCCCCTCCCCTCCGGTATAGCCCTATGTCAGCCTACAGGAGGCCCGTGCACGGCAGTGAGGAAGCGGCCGGTAAGATGGCGGCGGTCTCAGCCCCGTATGCAAAGTAYCCGCCGCCCCCTCCCCTCCGCCCTCCCGGTGGCAAAGGTAAAAGGGTCGGGTTCAAGCCACCGCCTCCGCCCGCTCAGACTCCATCTTCTGTCTCTTCTCTGTCCCGCGCTCGTCATCGCCGCGACCATAGCCCTACACCCCCCGGGCAGCAAACTTTGCTCACCGCGACCGGACCGGGTCGGATCTCAGCCGACCGACACTGCAGTCAGCGGCTCCGGCACGGGACTGCCCCGCCGATCGACCCAGCACGCCACGATGGTCGTTTCCTCTCCTCTCCTCTCTCCAGGAGCTGTAGACCAGGCCAGACCACGGCCGGTGCTCGCTTACCAGCCARATACCGGAGCCGTGCAATCCCCCTCCCCTAAATCCACCGTCACCCACCCCTCCCCTCGCGGGGGTGTCCAGAGTAGGGCCCGCTAACGCCTCCCCGCGCCCCCTCCCTTATCGTGGCTCCCACGAAACAAACCCAACCGGGCCGCTTCAATTTTAAAAAATGGTTTTTTACCTCAGGAGTGGGCGCCAAAGGTGCAGTGGCGGTGACCCGATTGGGCCCGGGCAGGCCGGTGCCCGGCAGCGGCCCTCCCTCCCCCCGCGGGGGCGGCAAGGGGCTGTGGGGCCCGCGGAGGGGAGGGGGCCGGGGCTGTGTTGGGGCCGGGGGTGTTTTGTGTGTGTGCCGCGCCCTGTGACAGGTCAGAGTTCGTGACCCCACCGCCGCCGCCCGGGAGCGCGTCCCCGCTTCCTCTTCCAGCACCCGCCCGGCCGCGTCCCCTCCATCCCCCGCGGGGCGGGGCCGGYGGCGGGGAGGGGCTACCGGGCTACCGGGCTACCTGGGCCTGCCGAGCTTCGCACCGCTCCCACCGGGCCTGAGAAATGCCGCGAGCRACCTGGCCTCTGGGGCAGCGAGGGGAAGGTACGTTCGCCGCCTTTGTTCCTCTCGCTGGGGAGGCTCCTCAGGGGACGGAAGCCCGATGAAAATTGTTGGCGGTGGCTGTTCTGTGTGCCGGTGGTGTTGATGTTCCAGGTGTACCTTGGTTCTCGGTGAAGATGCAGTCAAGGGYTGGCTTACAGCTGAGCAAGCTGAAACTGTCCCGACTTCTTATTTAATTTTGTAAAGTCAATGTCATTGACTAGGGCTCTTATGGCAAAGCTGGCTGTAAGTGAGGCACGTTCTGCCTCCAAATACTCAATGCTAGGCATGAGCCAGGTTTGGGTGCAGCTGAGGTGGTGTAAGAGCTTACCAGCTTTCAGTGCTTGTCTTCTCACAGGCTATCAGATGTTCACCCCTGTCATAACTGTAGCTGTTTCTTAACCTACCCTTATCAAAATGTTCTTAATACTTATAGTAACTTTCCCTTGAGTCTAGTAAGTTTGACAGAAGCTAACTTAGGGAGCATTAGATGAATAGTACAATTGAAAGAGGTGGTAACTGCTGAAAAACAAAAACGTATGGAAGAGAGAGCAGCTGAATGCAATAATCACATAAGCAAGAGCTGCTGAGTTGACTCAGCTCAGTTGACTGACAGTCAGTATGCTGATTTTTTTGTTGATGCATTTTTGTTTGGAGGGTTGCTCGTTGTTTTTCTTAGAACGGGCTCTGTGCGGCAAGGGTATGAGAACTGAAGAACTAGACCTACAAATTGCAGCCTTGCTTTCACAGAATGGGAATTAGTAAAGCACTTGATGTACAGATATGTTATACATATGTATATATGWTGTACAGATATTATATATATATGTATATGCAATACATAAATAAAGGAAAATGTTTCAAAAATGTCTTGTGTCATCACTACTATAAAGCTAAATAAATGAAAATTTTTCAAATCGTCAAAATATGGCTACGTACATACCTTTAGAAGCCTCAGAAGAAAAAAAAAATGTGCTACTAAGCTGCCACGCAAGAAGAGAAGGGACCCTGTGAAAATTGTTCCAGGAGAACAAATTGAATTTCCCCAGAACACGGGTGAGATGTGCATACTTGCATGGAGGGAAGGAGGCTTTAGATGTGGAAGGAGAAAACCCCGACAATGCACATGTGGGCTGCAAGAGGCCAAAGCTCACTCTCTGGCCATGGTGGTAGCAGTAACAGCACATAATGGACTAAGAGGGGGTGAAAACTTAGGGCGTGTCAAGTAGTATAAAATACAAATAGCATTTGAGGTTATTCATGTGGTTTGAATGTTTGGGATAGACAATGTTGTAGAGTTTGGTTGTTCTGGGGTTTTTAAGTTCTCATTTCAGTTGCTTAAAATTTTCTGGAAACTTTCAAGGTAAGTTTTCATAGCAAAGCTGATACTAGCATGGAAAAAAATCAACAGTTACATGTGACTGACAAGGTTTTAACAGAACTGTTTGGTCTTTTTAATGCCACACTCAATTTAAATTTCTAAGTGTTAGTAGATGATTTCTGAAGTGTAAGTCCTCATGCCTTTCATTTGGGTTTGGACTTGGCTGGGCAGTGCTGAGGGAAGCTGGTGACTTCCATCAAGTGGGGGTTTTGCATCCATTTCTCCATGTTTATCTCTTTCTAAAAGTGGGTTTGCTGTCTGCTACAGGATTTGTTGGCTGCAGGAAAATATCACTACATAAAATCATTAAAGGCTGGGAAAGACCTCCAAGATGATCAAGTTCAACCTTTGACCTCATACCGCRATGCCCTGGAGTCTACAAACTGTCAAAACTTGATCAAAAGTGGTGTCACAGCATTACCCAGGCTGAAGAATCACACTACTTTTAATACATAGGAACATAACATACAAACTTCTATGTAACTTGTGGAGTTAGACTAGTGTTTTCTCTCTAGTATTTAAAATAATACCTTCCCCCCCACACACTGAACCCTTTTATCTTCACAAGCAATGATGTTCACTAAATGTGGTTACAAGCCAACAAGTTGTTACTGCTTTTGTATCAAAGTAGCATGCAATCAAGGAAACCTGGTTGGTATTCATCGATGTGTGGTAAAAGCAGCAGCGAATTGGATCGGGAAGAATAGCAGTCCCAGGGCTTGACCAGCAATGCTTGTGTAAGTGGCATAGGATCTTCTCATGCTGGTATACTCCATTTTTGAATGACTGTTACTTTCATTTGGAAGAATAATAACTGTTAAAAAACCAGATTTTAACTAGCCACATACATTAAAATAGGTCAAAATATTATTTGCTGATAATAACTAATAACCTTAATGCTTTTTAATAAATAGATAAATAAACAGAAAAACTCTGAAACAACAAATGGGAATGTCAGGTATTGGCTGAGTAGCTAGTACATTGTGACTTACTACTAAATTATAATACTTGTGAAGATGTGGAACAAAATTTTTGTTTGAAGGAATAATACTAGCTATAAATTAATAAGAAAAAGCTGTGTAAGTCAGTTCAGATAGTAAACAGTATATACATATACTTTAAGATGTTAGTATTTTCTAGAAGGTGATTACTGAGTGAACTCTGAAATGAAAATTTCTGTCTCTGATGCTTAGCCTTGCTCAAATTCATTTAACAGTAGGACTGCAATTGTGAGAACTTTTTCAAATTTTGCTCTTTCTGTATGCTACATTGAGACCATTTGTATGTGTAACTGAAGTCTAGGTGAAGTAAAGTAGGTGGGCTTTACAGAAGCTAAAAACTGTGTGAACTGAAACACATCTTCACACCAACTAGGTCTCAATTTTGTTTCCTACCAGAAGGSCCCCAGTACGATCTTAGTATTTGATGCTCATCGTTAGTTTGTCAGGGAACTGTTTAATTGGCAAGTGTCTGTTAATAGTAACTGGAACTGCAAAATTGGATTTAAAGACGGTAAAAWCTGTGTAAAGGAAAAGCCTGTAGAACTGCATTCATGTTTTGTTCTTTTATTTTTCTACATTACTTAAACCAACGTTTAATAGCACTGTATTTTTTATAACAAAGCATTTTCATGTATTCATTTCCTGTTTCTTACTGAAAACTTCATATAACAATCACTAAATGTCAGCACCTAAATCTTCAGAATATTGTCATTCTGTAGTGCAGTTTTGTTTTGTTTCAGACCATGGTTAGAGATTTTGCTGTATATTCAATGTTGTCTTATTTCTTTTGTCAGTGCAAAATGTTTTTAAGGGGAGATAAACATTCACAGCGTAATTGTTGCAAGGCCATGGTTCTTACCATAAAAYAGAGTTAACATTGCTGTTCATCCATTAACTGAAGAATATATAAGTTTTCTCATTCTTGATTTCTGTTTGCACATGATAATGTAGGCTTTATGGAATGGTCAGGCTTAGATACATCAAAAACACCAAAGCAATGACATTTAGTGGTAGGTGTGTATTTGTTTCTTTAAGCTTGTTTATCCASGTGATAAACAGATCTACTTTATCATTTGGATATATATTAGAGACCTTTAAAAATATGGACAACTCTAAAAAATTTATTAGGGTCAAAAGTTCAGATATCCATTAAGCTTCTTGAAGAAAGGGAAAAAGTAATAAAAATCCCCACCAATATAAGTTAATGTAAGTAAATTCTTGAACATGTTATTTTATACAAAGATATATTTTAATCAGATGTCATTCTATTCCTCAGTTAAATATCATGACTGAGGGCAAAACCATTGTATTACAATGATTAGCACACCACTTCTCAACCTTCTTTATAAAAAACCCTACCCAAAACACTAAAAACCCCTATACCAACAAAAAAATAATTCCCAAACAAAACACTCCACCCCAAAACTCCAGAGTTCTATATCCTCAGCTGACGTAAAGCACCACAGCATCTTTCAATTCATACAGACACAGTCTCAGCTGGCTGCTGAGCCTGCAGCCCTTGCGATGTAGTGCATGGCAGCAGTCAGACCTAAGGCGGGTGTGGCCATGGGAGTTCCAAAGGACTCGAGCAGAGCAGGTTCAGACAAGTGCATTGCAGCCCACCCGGCATATTTCAAATGCTGTGCTGGTTATGTGGATTAAACTTTTGATGACTTTTTTTACAAAAAGAACAGCAGGAACAACAGGAATTTTGAAAATAAWAGTACACTATTTAAATACCTGATAAAAATCTTAACTCTACTAAATAGACACGTTAAATAAAAACTGTCTGTAGGTTTATAATAAATTAAAAATAACTTTGGATTTGAGTCTGGAGTATTTAGGGAGAAATTATATAAATCAGCATCTGGATCTGTAGAGCTACTGGAGTGCATTTCAAAGGACTAATATGAAACTAAATCTTTAACATAAATTATACAGTGATTTTTGTAAAATTATAAATTGATAGTAAGTAATTATGTTGGGTCATCATCAGTGAAGTATTGGTAGAACAGGTAAATTGAATGTGTCATTCGTTCATTTTCTGTGGAAGCAATTTAGCATACACAGGGCATTATTTCATGCTGGCACCTGTTGATGGATGAGTAATAAATCAGGCCACAGAACTCCTTAGAAACATGACGATGATGAAGCTGTCATTCAGAAAGAATGATAAAGTGCTTTAGATGATCATTTGTTGTTTACTACATTGTTTCACACGTCATGGTAAACATAAAATGAGCCCAAAGAAATATAATCGTGCTCTACAATAAGTAAAACTGAGCCTGTTACTTACTGTAGTCAATATTTCCRTGTATTTTCTGGTTAAATTTGGTTTACTGTGGGATCAGAAGAGAAGCTTATAATACAGGCTGAACTTGCACAAGCATAAGGATCACCATAAATAATCTGTATCTTGAAATTTTCATTTGCAACAATGTGGATGTGAAAAGAAGGAAGAAAAAGAACAAACTGGAAACAGTTCAAATCCAGTGTGTGCAGCCAGTTGGACTGAAATACATTGTTCAGTTTTGTAAGTCAGAAAAGGGTTTCTGGAAATGCATAGAAATCTGACAATTTATTCCAAGTTCATTGAGTGATAGTTGCTATAAAATGGATGCTTCTTCCATTGCTTCAATCCACCTAAAAAGTAGAGGGGACAAAAGCTGTACATATACAATTTTTTGCATTTTAAGAAAAGTAAATATTTTAAGAATGTAAAGCATGAAGACTGTATTTTCCATCCCAGCTCTAATGAGAGCTGCCCTTCTGTGATTAAAGTAGGGAGCTGAGTACTGGTGGTCTTGCTTTCTAGTACAATCTTGACCAGTAATTCATTGTAAAATCTCCAAGATAGTACAAGTGCTGTCTTAGAATAGGAAAGATTAAATTTGTCAAGTGTGATTAAAAACAGCAAAACGTCCTACAGACATTCAATGTTGATAAACACTATCAACTATCCTTTTCTGTGTGTCTTGGGGTGCTGGTATTTTTATTACAAATTCTGTGACTATCTTATTATATGGAAGCAGTAGCCTTAGAATGGGAAATGCAAACAATTACTTGTTGATGACAAAACTAACAAATGGATAAACTGAACATATAAATTAGAAGTTTCCGTACAGTAATCACCTTTAACATACTTCTAGCTATGACTCTTGAGGTTCAGCATCCTCTTTACCTAGAGAGGGAGAAAATTCTCCTTCCTGAAGGAAATGAAAGGCACCACATAGATTTTTCATGTCAATCAGACCGGTGACATGCAATTTGGCTTAATCAAAACTCTGAAAGTTGTTTGTTTCCTCTGCTATGGAAGGCATTCTGAAGTGAAGGATGGGAAAATCCCTACATAAGTGCACTGGCTAATGTGGAAGTTTATCCCCATACCTGTGTGCTGAATTGTTATCCTCTGCTCGGAAGCTATAAAAGAGAGTCTGCTTGTGGTAGAGATGAAAAACTGTATCCATACTTCCTTCCTCCTTTTCTGGGGCAATGGTGAAACCCAATAAAGGCAAACTTTCTGTAGCAAMTTTGTCCTGAAAGCAAAGAAGTGAACCAAAATTTAGAGAGAGGGCTTGCAACAGTTTGAGGGTCCTTTCTGAAAAGCAARTGATACAGCCTCCTGTGGCAGGACTGGAAGAGCAGTAGTGTGAATGTTCTGCTGGACTCACGGCTCTTAATCTAAAAAGGAGCAGTGCCTGTGTACTGCACATGTTTTATCTAGTCTGAGTCCTGAACATCACCTCTCAAAGCCCAGTGTTTTATGACCATCCACATGGCCATGAAGGTCAAATTAGCCATTACCTACAGGGTTGTCTTTGACATAATTGCGTAGGAGGCAAAACCCAGATTACCGAGAGTACAGCAGTAGTTCTGAAAGGCTGAGACTCACTTCCAGTTACATTCATTTCAAATATTTTTATTTGCTGGCTGGACGTGGTAGTCCTTTTGATACCTTGTCATTTCCTTTCACAGCACTAGTGACTTTTTTAGAAATCTGGTCTTTCTCAAGAAGCACACATGCTTTCCAAAAGACTGCTTGGAAATCTCCTAGTTAGTAACGCAATTAATCCTTCATTTACTCCCAAGAAACTTCCACGAATTTTGCTTTCCAGACACAGCTTTGTATAAGTTAAAGAAAACAATAAGCCTTAATCAAATTGCGGTTTATCTGTTACTGATAGCTGCAGTATTGGTCACTGTATTTAGGTAGTGATTACATGTGTATGTTGCCTTTGCCTCTGCTTTCARAAGGGAAATTGCAGACTGAGAATGTAAAGTAAACCATTGTTGCTTTTCTCCTATTGTTGAACAAGAAGTGATCACTTTTAAGRTTACCTGAGTTAAGGCAAATGTGTTGGATACAGAATTTGATGCTAATGGTGTGAACTGCTGGCCCAATTACGAATCCTTTTGTGACTCAATCTCCTCATCTATTTAAAGGGGTAAACACTTCTTCATGTAACCATCACAGGGGTGATGGTGATGCAAGTTTAAATAAGTAATGTTTGCAAAGTATTCTAAGGACTTAAAGTACCAAGAATTCCTTTTACAGGTTTTTGCATTCTATATCCTTTATTTGAGCAAAATGAATTGTTATGTTTTTGCTTATGAAATCTATCCATTATAATCAAACTTGATATCACACTTACCTCATGTTTATTTGTATTGCAGCTCTTATAAAATAAAAAAGGGACCTTGAAAAGACAAAATACATAAAAATGATCTAGTTGACAGCCAGCTTCCTTGGCTGTAAGGAGGAGCTTACAGGCCAACATAGCAGGCATAATTCTCCCTTCTGCAGATTGCCTCCCGTCTTTCCCTGTTAGTGCTAATTGGGCAAATAAGTCTTACTCATACTTGCAAAACTACAAGATTCTCCTCCCCACAAGAAATGGATCATAGTACTATCTACAAAAATACCTGGAAGTTACCAAGTGCACCAGAGAGCACCGAAGAATCTGGAAGTCTTTAGGAGTAAATATGTACGTTAAGGTACACAGTGGTTGACAATTTGTAATAGCATGAATAGAAAGAAATCAAATGAAGGGCAGTGTGCGAGTGCTGCCAAGGTCYAGCTAGGACTCTGGCTGAGCCAGTTGGTTAGGACCAGGTCCCAGAAGTGGATTGTTGTAAGAACTAATGTTTGGACCTTTCCCATTTACTAGTCTCCTGCCTGTCGGGAGTAAAGAAGGGCTCTCAGGAAACTATTTCAAGTCAGATTGCACAGTACCTCGTTTGCTATGTAGGTGTAGAGGACTTTGCCTTTGATAACAAACCAGCGTTTCTTCCAGTGTCTTTTGCCTCCCTTACATCTGCTGAGGTAACCACTGATGGTAGCTCCCTCTCCTGAGGCTGCCACCTGGAGCAGGGTAGGAGAAATCAGGATTTGTAACAGTAAAGGCTTTTCCCCTTCTGATTATGCATGCTTGCATCACACCAACCAACCAAGTGAAACCATAAGTAGACGATTAAAAGTATTGATACAGAAAAAATATAAGCATGGTACTATGGTTCTTTTTACTGTGCAAATATTTATAGTTAAACTTAGTTCTCAGTAACTCTGATGGAAAATATTCAGTTATTATTGAGGTCAGTAAATTTACAGCTGTGTTCTGAAAAGCCAGTCGTATCCCTTTCCCCACATCTGGTGTTTTTTGGTGGGTTTTTTTGTATTTTAAAAGTGCATGCTTTCAAAAGTGTATTACAGTCTTGTGGCTGAACAAGATCTGGGTATATTTAGGGCCTTGCTATGGTTTTATATTAATTTATGTTAATTACTTGATATTGAATTAGTTTATTTTTGAAATAATATTTCTGAGCAGACTTGCTCCTCTCATAGAAATATTTTGAGGTCTAAGTGCTTAATGTTCTTAAAAATCCAGATTTTAAGTTGATGGAGCTAAACACATGCACACAATGCAGTGTACATCATTAGTTACAGCAGTAAACTGTGATAGTATTGGATTTAGAAACAAAGGGCAGAAATTCAAAACCAGCTTTTGTAACAATGATAGAAGAGATGACGGAGAATTACTATAGCAGTGTTTTGTAGCAGAACAGAAAAATTCCAGGACCTGGAATYATGCTATTGTGATTAGGTCATGTTAATAATGTTCATGTGAATAAACACATGCTGCCTCCCTGTGGATAGAAAGGTGATGCTTTTTCCCTCGTGGGGTTGAAACTCCGTCTGGCTCTTCTAGTACTCCATTAGTGTGTTTGTATTACATGCTTATATGTTGGGCACAATTTCACAAACAAACAAACCTCAAGAAATTCCAGCATCTTGACTGTACAATGAGTTTAGCAAGATGTTTGCACCCTAGTCTCTTTAATACCACGCTAAATGCCTGCAGGCATTTATTGTGTTCAAGTTCAATGGGCAGCTTAGTTACCTGGAATACGTCAACATGATTGGCACCTTGTTCCTGGAAAGAAAACTAATATAACAGGAGAAATCATGGCCCCACTGAAATTGGTGGGAATTTCATTTATATTGGTGGAATCAAGATTTTACACATTTGATTTGAAATAGTTTTGTTTGAGTTGGAGGGAAAGTGCCTGATTAAACATGCATGCTCTTGAATTTATTGCCAAGGACTATGCACTAAGTAAGTCTATTCCCTCAGAAGGGTTACTTTATTTCTCTTGAAATCAAAGAAAGATTTCAGAAGTAAGAGTCTTGTCAAGAAACTTAACTGATGAACTATGCTTTGTTGATCTGCCTTGTTCTATCTAGTTCTATCTGTCTTGAAGGCGTTTATTTTTTTCAAGACTTCATAGGCTGATGAGCAAATTAAAGTACCATACTCTAACTGGGTTTCTCAGTGGGCTCAAGACACTTCTGTGGTATCTTTAGAGCTTGGAGTAATTTTGTACTTTAGAACACTACTATTAAAAAAAAAAAATTCATGATGAAAGTAATCCAAGTCATGTGCTGAGCCCATTGCACACAGTATAAATTAAAAACATAGCTGCTGAAATATGAGCATACTGTTCTCTATAGTTCCTTGCCTTTCTCAGGCAGCTTGGTCCTACCTCCGTGAGAGCTGAAGGGATTTTCTTCTGTTTCTTAAAAGATGAATAATGAATATTGTGGAAGACAGAGGAGAAGGCACTGCTTGAACACCTGGATGAAGTTGTAGGGAAGCTCAGACTTAGTGGACGCTCTGCAAGATGAAAAATCAGAGAGGGAAAGGGAAAATGGATAAGTTGGTACATATCAGGCTAGGTGTAAGAGACACATGATACACTAATGCCAATGACCAAGGAAAATGCAACACCTCCTCTATACCCAGTTTTTATTTTAGCCTTTCTTTCAAATCACCTCTTTAAGTCTGATGAGTAGATTCCATGGCATTCTCAGTTRATGGTACTAACCTACAGTTTCTTGAAAAAGGCCTGTAAGAAAGCTGACAAAACACAGCTTGTTTCTTCTTATTTAGAAGGAGCATTAAGCAAATGGTTTTGTCATCTATGTTCTGTAACACTTGCAGGATAGATTCACTAATGCAACATTCTTTCAGTACAAACCATTCTCTTTGAAATCTTCATGAAAGGCAGTTATTTGTCTCTGAAAATTTCCATTAAGCCCACTCGTCTGAGTTCATATCTTCACGATTTCACTTCTGGCAACACACATTATTTGAAAGCTCTTAGTAAAGCACAGCTTTAGTTTAGCACAAATCTGAGTTACTGCTTCTGGACAAACAGTGGCTTAGGGATGCTTTTTTGGCTGTTGTGACAGCATCTGTATGTGTTTTCTTGGCTATGTGTGAATTTCCTTAATCAGGATGGAAAAACTAAACTTCATCTCTCCATACCTTTTTTACTCTTGACAATAAGCTTATTTTAGAGACTGTTTACATAAGCAGTTGTGCAAGAAAATTATTTCCTGTTCACACTCTGCTGGTATATTTATAACCCCTCTCCCCTTTTGTCTTTCTGTACATAAATCAGAAAAGAGACATATAGTAGGATAATAATACAGAGTTCYAGATAGGTACTAGCTCCTCTGCTTCAAATTCACGCTTTCATCTGTTACTAGATTAACTCGCCCTGTGGAAAAGCTCTTAGTGACTCTGCACTTTGACTCAGCATTTCTTTTTGTCAAAGCAACAACGTGGATGAGGACAATGAAGAACCATAAAGACATGGTTTTACCTTAATGGATAAGTAATTAAAACAACAGGAAAGAATTATCACCTGTAATTACATCACAGAATAAAATAGTTCAGTTAGAAACAGTCTACGACAATCTAGTCCAACTGCCCGACCAATTTAGGGTTGCCCAAATATTAAAGCATTTTATTAAGGGCATTGTTTAAATGTCTCTTAAGCACTGAGGTATGGGTATAGCCCACCTCTCTAGAAAGCTTGTTCCAATGTTTGGCCACCCTCTGGAAAAAGCAAGGTTTCCTCCTGTCAAGTCAGAACCTTCCCTGCTGAAGTGCTGAACCATGYTTATGTCTCTTGTCACTGCATCAGAGGGAGAAGAGATCAGTACCACTGTTTCCATGTCCCCTCCTCAGGAAGCTGCAGAGAGCAACGAGGCCACCTCTCAGTCTTCTTTATCTTCAAATACAGAGTCCTCAGTTGGTCCTCTTAGGACATTGTTTTTATCATTATTCTGGTTTATCAAAAGGCCAGGGGGCTCTCAGAGAACCTAGTTTATAATCATAGAATCCCAGAATGGTTTGAGTTGGAACGGACCTTAAATCTCATCTCATTCCATCACCCTGCTATGGGCAGGGACATCTTCCACTAGACCAGGTTGCTCCAAGCCCCATCCAGCCTGGCCTGGAACGCTTCCAAGCCCCAGCCTGTCCAGGGATGGAGYAGCCTCAGCTTCTCTGGGCAATCTGTGCCAGGGTCTCATCACCCTCTAAGCAAAGAATTTCTTCTCTACGTTTAACCCAGTTTCCCTTCTTTCAGTTTGAAAAAGGAGTTTGCTACACTTGCTTTTATGGCTTGCTAATCAGTTTTAGCTGTCATACAGCCTGGCCTTCCTGAAACCTCAATGCAAATGCCTCAGGCTTGAAATGAGGAATACTATTTAACAAAACACAATATAGCAGGCAGGCCCTAAAACCTTCCCATTACACAAGCAGGAAATGGATTTGTCAGTTTTGCCAAGAATGAAGGGATCTTACCTCTTTTCTTAAGTTCCACATAGCAGCTATCACAGACTTTGGCTGCTTGATCTTTAAGGTACTTCATGGGGTACTTGTTTCTTGAACAATTTCGACATACAATCTGTTCCAGCAAGAAGAGATGCACATATAAATAATTTAAATTTACAGATATGCATATACAAAGCAAATCCCCTGAGCTGGCTGSGAGAGGAAGTTGGATAGTGGACCAGACATGACTCTCTCCTAAATGTGTGCCAGTCAGGACAAGTCTGCTGATTGAGATGTGATTGCTGTAGGTTTATACTGTTGTAAGCCACGCAGAACTGGTCTCTGTATTTGGTTGCACAGCACTGCTGTATCCTTCTCCCCATGAATTTACACCTTCCCTACCATTGAAACATAGAAAGACCATTTCAATACTGCTTCTGTTTTCACAGCTTTGTTAGTAACATTGTTTTCCTAAGTAAAGTTGCGCATTATTCCAAACCCCGTGTAGGTACAGACTGATTTTCTCAGTGGAATTAGGAAAAAAGATTAAGTTAAACATTTTTTTATACTATCAGAAATTAGTAGTTTTACTAAAAAAAAATCATCAGATTAAAAGACAGCCATGGTTTAAAACAGGACTGCAGGTTTATGTATACAAGCAAACGTCTAGTCAGGGGCTAAGGGACAAAACCAAGAACGCTTACAGATCCCCTTAGCTTTGGGGCAAACGGCCACAGCTCTTCAATGGAGCACAGGAGAAACTTTACTCACTGATCAAACCAGGCTCTACTGCTGAGTTTCTTCACTTTTCTTGGAAGGCAATTTTACCAGCTTTTATTAAGGACACAACATGGAGTAGTTGCGCTACTGCTCCGGTCCGAACACAACCTGTATTTTTAGTATATTGCTTCATTGTCTCTAGAGTTAGTTGCGTATCAGATATAATGGCTGCACTCAATAACAATTACCCAGTCAGCCTTTAACTACTAGCATTTGGGAGCTAATTTGATCTTAATGCAAGGCTACTGTTATTTCTTCTAGCGACGGTAGAAACCTAACTACCTAATTTAGCAAAGCACTCACTGGTTGTCTGAGAATTCTGATCTTGATGTTGCCACAAATTTTCAGGTTATAGCAGTGGCAGCCAGTGTTCTACAGGTGTGAATAAACACCAACCCCTTCCCCTGAGAAGCTTGCACAGCTCTTACCTTCCCGCAGGCATGACAATGATGTCGCCTCAAAGTGAGGGTAAAGTCACAGCCGCAGTTCATGCACATCATGACATGAGACACGGGCACCAAAGTAGGAGGCCTCTCACCCAAGGGTATTCCAAGCTTTTCCCTTAGCTTAAAATCAAAGAAGAATAAATGAAGAAGCCATACTTCCAAAGTCCACTCAGCCAGCCTTGTTCCATCACATACAATTCTCTCATTTCAGTCTACCTTCACCTGCTAAGATCCCCGAATTTTCACATTCCTAATGCACTTATATAAGTGACATACAGCTGCTTCAGCATTGCAAGGTAAGTGCATGCTGCTGTTCAAGCCACAGTCACAAGAAGTAAAAATTAATGTAAATCTATTTTTGGTCAGGCCCTGACACTCTTCTACATCAAACAAGAATCTGACGAATTGCAAATGAAAATTGCAGGTAGGAACATGAGTTAAAAGTACCTTTTTATTAGCAGATTTTGAAATAATATCCATAAAAAGCTCTATATCCTTCAATGAAAAAAGCACCTGAACTCTTTGTCATTACACCTTGGGACAGTTATGTGATAAGGGAAGAGGGAATAAAGAAAACTATAAAACCAAAGATGAATTTACCCCACTCCAAATCTTTCCACGCTTCCTGGTTGCCAGTGCTCGGTCACGAACCCTCCCCTGGTTGAATAGTCCCAGCTTTCTCAGCCTTTCCTCTCATCTGAGCTGCTCCAGTCCCTCATCATCTTCATTGCCCTTTGTTGGACTCTTTCCAAGCTTTCCATGTGTCACACTGAGTACCGCAGCACTGGACACAACACTCCAGATGTGGCATCACCAGCACTTCCTCTTATTTAGTAAAATTGGGGCTCTACATAACCCAAATCAGTATTTTTACTTTTATCAGATGCATTTTGTGCCTTCTTAACTGGGAGTAGTACAACTGGCAATAATGAGAAAATAATATGCATAACGTGCCGGTATGWTTGCAATATTGCCGGTGGGGGTTGCCCTGGTAGTGACTTAATTGTGTACATGATATTAATGTAACTAATGGGTAGCTTGGGTTATTTTTTTTTGATCTATGAAGTTTGCAGCTCTTTTTAATTAATCCAAAATAGCTGCTACTTTGTCCTTTAGGACAAAATAATCTTATTCCAGAAGAACTAAGCAAAGGCCACAGAGTATGGAGTGTAATTAACATTTCAGAGGTGGCCCCTGAGCTGTGATGAGTTTCACTGTTCAAAGTTGGCATGCTGGTTTAAATGAAAATAGAATGTCTGGCTACTAGGAGCTCCAAATTTTATAATCATCCTCCCCCCCCCCCCCCTCCGCTTTTCCATCTCTTTTCAAGGATTGAAAGATTTGGTCGCCTTTTACCTCCACACTGCTGTGGAAAGTCGAAGTCTTGTGAGCTTTGAAGCCATCCGGGATATATTTGCTGATGCAGCTGTACCAGTCATCCCTTTCTGAGCAAGAGCTGGGGAATGAAATACAGCACAGCAGTCAATGTCTGAAACATTGCGTCACTTTATGAATGCAATGAAAAGCGTCACTTYATGAATGCTTGATTTCCCCCACTACAGCACTGAACTGATCATTTTCGGATCAGGAACAAAATTGACTGTTGGATATATTCGGAGTGATGATTAGTGTAGCTCCATGCTTAGGATCACGACGGAGAAGGAGCTAAATGCCCAGAAAATTTTTCAAAGTAATCTCTGCCTTTGCTATAAGCTGCTCAATCCTAGGTCATGCAGGACAATACGAAGTGTCTTTTTTTCTTCCTTCTGCAATATCTTTTAGGCACTCTAGTGCATAGAGTGTTGGCATATATGGGTTGTGCAAAGTAATTGTGTTTATGCTCATTTCTACAGTGGGATGCTCAGATGAACTGCGTGTTGGGAAATGCAGAAGTGCATCACCCTCGGTAGAGATGTGAACGATTCAATTTTCCTTTAGCCTCTTCACAGACAACCTCCATTCTCCTGGAACAGAAGAAGCCAGGACAACAATTTGTGAAAGAAGTTGGGCGTTCCTTGGAGTTGCAGTTACGCATGGAGGCCGGTAATTGTCCAGACTGGCCCCTAGATGCYCCCTGTGCACAAGGCAAACCAGCGAGCACTTCGGGTTTCCCGGCCAGTCCAGCTATCCCCAAAAGCAGCAGGGCTCTTAGTGCCTGTTATTTCACAGATGCATTTGCTCTGTTACAGCCATGCCTGCTTTAGCTGTTTTTTCTGCTTGACTTCAAACTGYGCACTTCCCGTTCATCTGAAACTGCAAAACTCTAGCGGTTTCTAGCCTCAGTCACAGAGGGAATGCAACTCAGTGTGGCTTCCCCTCTCCAAATCCTACCAGCCACTCACATTAAAGCTGYCCACTAGACCTTGTTGTAAAAACTAGCAGTGGCATCATTGCCAGCTGCTGTTCAGCTGTGATTTCCTCACACTGTCCTCATGAAGATCACAAAACAAGAGACATCTGAGAACAATTTGTGTTTTGTGGTCTTAAAAAAAAGAGCACAAAAAGAGAGGAAATACCAGATTTCCTTGATCTTTGACTTGGTATCCCTCTGCACTATGAGCATAAGCCTTTGAAAAACAGAAGCCTGTGAAAAAATTCAACAAGCCTGAAGCAGAAACTCTGAGCTGGTGTGTGTACTACAAACTGGTTAACCTCTGGAAGCCAAGGAGCTATGTTACAGGAGATCATCTCTGTTGAGAGTCACACTACTAGTCATAGAATCCCAGAATGGTTTCAGTTGGAAGAGACCTTAAAGATCATTCATTCCAACACCCTGCCATCGGCCYGGACACCTTTCACTGGACCAGGTTGCTCAGAGCTCTATTCAGCCTATTCACTCCTTAATAATACCAAAGTTAACCCCTGTCAAATTACACTTTCTAAGAAATCTGAAAATGTCTATATCTTCCAGACAAATCATGTTCACAGCATAGAAAACACTAAAATAAGTCATTTCTTTCCTGACTTAAACCCTTCTCTTGCTAGTTCTTTAATGGAAATTCCCTTTGCCTGAGAATTAAGATATAAATAAAATAATTACCCCAAAACCACAAAGGAAATCATGGCCCATATAGTGAAGGAAACTAAAGGCACTTTAGGAAAGACAGGTAAGAAACAAAATACTATCAAAAGCCTGATATCTAACTGGCCCCTTTAGCCTCTTCTCCACTCAATTAAAAATCTCTAGGAAGTAATCACAGGTTATTTGTGACTAAATGTGGGAATAACACCTGTATGCTGATGAGTAAGATTTATTATGTCAATTTGTTCTTAACTATTTGACTGGTTGCATGACGGCTCAGAGGAATTTTTGCTGAATCTCTGAGACTCAGAGGAGTTCAGCCCTTTTTCACCATTGTCACATTTGGTCCTTTGGGGATTTTTGGGATGCATCTTAGGATAGCTGCTCATTCTGTGATCAATCTGCCATAAGTCACCCAAGAACAGTTTTCCTCCTCCTGGAGCACTCTGCACAAATGATAAGTGTTGTGGGAAGAATGAGCACTCCAAATGCTGATTCTGAGTAAGAAAGTGTCTTCCCTGTCTTTCTCTTGCACTGTGTAATTCAGGAAGTCAGCTGTGTTTCTAGGCATTCTGTTGCACTCTGCAGTTGCAGACTGATGGTGGGGAAAGTCAGTACTTAAAAGCACTGAAGGCCATGCTATTTGGAAGACTTAATTTCAGTACCACYGCTAGTGTGCCATGTCTTTTGTAATAAACTACATGTAGAAAACAAGCCAGCTTCCCTTCTGCTATAGCTGTTGGTAGTTAGCAGGGTAATTTCGGCTAGAAGTAGGAACAATGCAGTATACTGCTATCTTCTGATCAGAAACTGTCCTACTATCTCTTTTTGGCACTGGCTTGAGATCTTAGGACAAAGATCTTGACTCYCAGTTGCAATCAATACTAGCAGTACACAAACCTATTAATTTCTTTTATTAGAAAACACCATGAGGTTGCCAGCAAGGTTTAATTTTGGCTTTGTCATAAGCATTATTAAATGCTTTTATATCTGTTGCATCGTATTTGCTAATTACTATTTTCTCCAGCCTTTTACAGCCCTAGGGGTATGAGGTAAGAAGGGAACTTACAAAAGGGGGATATAAAAGACTCCTAACATCACAGGGAAAGAATCTGAAAGACAATGGAAAGTACTCTGAAAAGCTTCTTCCTTTCCTTTCTCTTTAAGATGTTATTGAGAGCCAACTTCTAATCTTTAGGAGTAAGATAATTGAATTAGTTGGAGTTTATGAGCCTCACATTTGTAATGAATGTTGGTTGTGTAATCAAGTACTCAGCCATTGTCTGTCACAACAGCAGGTTGAAATTGAGTTAAAAAAGAATGAATGACACACCCATCCTTTCAGTCCTGGCTCTTGGTTGGACTAATCTAGAGATACAGCTCTAGAATGTAACACCCTCTGCCATGCACATTTGGAAACAGTACCTTGCTGACAGGATCAGGCAATGTTCTTCATATTCAATCCTCAGGACGTTTTGGACTTTCTCTATCACTGGGCGACTGACCTAGAAACAAATGCCGTGAACAAGTCTAAGTGCATACTATCTTTGATACCCCAACCATCTGTTTCATACTTCAATGCAAAGAAATGGGCATTATGGTCTTTTGTATTGCTGTTGTAATGAGAAAAGTTGTCTATTTCAATATGATGGTGGTACTGAAGGAAAAAAAAAAATCACTTAATCCAGCCTATAAGGATAAAGTATCTGTAAGGATAAGGTATCTGTAAGGGTTCAGTTTTAATATGACAAGCTTAGGATATGTTTACTCTGGCAAGTGTCAGAGCATTTTGGTTTATGCTTGTAATGAATAGAAATCACTTTTTTTCTGACATGCAGGCATTATATAGTGAAGCACTTCAGTTCGGTGAATGCCTGTCTGCAGCAAGGTTCTTAAAGAGCAGAAGAAAAAGCTTATTTAAAAGCTACAGTACAGTACAGCTTATTTAAAAGCTAAAATCCTGCCCTGAAGTGTATTAATAGCCTGCCAGTAGCAGCCAGCGAGGAGAAACATAGCTTCTCCGCTTCATACATTTWATTAACAAGCATCATTATGCTAGTGACTCAGTGTTTCAAATGTACCTCCATAAGTACATGCTCCGCAACTCCTTTTCACTTAACAGTAGAATATTTTGGTAATTCCTAGGAATTGCAGGGATCCGTGGGTTAGTTTTAAATTCTCAGGTCCCTGGTMTGAGCTTTCCACCTTTTCACAACACCTTAACCTTCCTATGTGATTCCACTAGAATTAATGATTAGTAATTCTTATCTTGTGTGTTTTCTTGATTGTCAGACTGCTGACTTGTCACTTCAAATCCTCTTTCAAATAAATACAACTTGGAATATTAGCTATAGAGCCAATGAATACTTAGGGGAAGAGTGTAAGGACAGATTAATTTTGTCCATTAAGGACAGATTAATTGTGTCAGCAATTTATAAATGTACTGAAGAAGAAACTGGTTTTGTATCACTTCATGAAATTGCTCCCAATACACCTTTTCCCCATAAAGTTGTCTAATTGTGTTTCAAACCCATTAATGCTTTTGATGAAAACAGTTAAAAGGCACATGAAAACCAGACTTGTGTGAATTTTTAGTAGCAGGAGTTTGAAACGAGGCAGACTAAGCTCTAAGGGAAAAATCATGCACTGGCTGGAGACAAAATGGGATAATACATTTTTTGTTTCCTGTTTCATGATCAGAGGACAACTCTGATTTTGGCTTGTATCATTTATGAAGCCTGAATAAGGCTGTCATACTAAGTCACAGACTTAATCTTTTTATATTTGTCTTCCACCATTTTTCCTTGTGTCTCCTGTAAGACACAAGGGAATGCCCTGATAACAGGTCMATCCCCTCTTTCTCCTTGCTGGATATGAGACATAAACCAGAAAAGCACTAACACCTCACTATARAACTTTAATTTAAGCTTATAATACAGATGAAGCATTACCTTCATGCCTGACAGAGCCAAGGTGTTTTTCAGTCGGTATTTGCCATCCTTCTGGGGATATGTGTACAGCAGAACATCATTCATCTACATGAAAAGAAAGACAAAATCAATGATTTGCAATATGGCTTGCAGATCTGCCTGCCTATTACTCCTGGGAGGGGTACCCAGAATAAGCAGTAACTTGATGAACTTGAGAATACCACCRAAATCCCATATTTGCCTGGTGATCCTGCTGTCTCCTGAATGTTAAGAAGACTGTATGAGAAAGACTGTATGAGAAGACTGTATGAGACTGTATGGACTTCCTCTGCCACTCATCAGTGCCAGTACTTAAGGCATTTCAAAGCACAAGAAAAGGTAACTACTTAAAATCATAGAATTGGAGTATTCTGAGTTGGAAGGGCCTCACAAGGATCATTGCTTCCAACTCCTGGCCCTGCACAGGACACTCCAACATTCCCACCGTGCGCTTCAGAGCGTTGTCCAAATGCTCCTGGAGCTCTGGCAGCCTTGGGGCCATGACCACTGCCCTGGGGAGCCTGTTCCAGTGCCCGACTCCCCTCTACGTGAAGAACCCTTTCCTAATATCCAGCCTAACCTTCTCCCTACACAACTTCATGCTGTTCCCTCGGATAAGAGCAGAGATTGATGCTGCTCCTCTACTACCCACCATGAGGGAGCTGCAGACCGTGATCAGGTCTGACCTCAGTCTCCTSCAGGCTGAACAATACAAGTGGCCTCAGCCACTCCTTGTATGGCTTCTCCTCCAGATCCTTCACTATCTCTGTGTTCCTCCTTTGGATGCTTTTTAACAGCTTTAGATCCTTCTTATGCTGGGGTGCCCAAAACTGCACACAGTACTCAAGGCGAGGCTGCCRCAGTGCAGAGCAGAGCAGAGCAGAGCGGGACAATCCCTCCCTCGCCCAGCCRGTGATGCTGAGCCTGAGCCTCCCAGACACAGCTGACCCTTCTGGCTTACAGGGCACAGCTGACTCATACTCAGCCTTTTGCTGCCCAGGAACCCCAGGTATCTTTCCACAGTGCAGCACTCCTCCCCTCATTCCCTAGTCTACGCACACRAGGGTTGCCCCGGCACAGCATTAGCCCTTGTTAAACTTCATATGGTTGGTGATTGCTCATCTCTCTAATTCATCAAGTTCTCTCTGGAAGATCTCTCTGCCCTCGAGGGARGGAGTTGACAGCTCCTCCCAGTATAGCATAACCAGCAAACTTACTCAGTAGCCCTTTGAGTCCTGCGTCRCTGTCGTTCATAAAGATTTTGAAGGGCCTAAAATGGAGCCCTGCAGCACTTGGGTACTAAGCCCAAGGAAGACAAATCCTGAGAGAGATTTTCAGGATTCTGATATAATCTGCTACGGGGCTTCTTGAACAGCAAAATGCATTTGTTTTATGTATTTTAAAAGTTACATATTTCTTTTAAAACCTTCTTATTCTTTTATTACTGTTGATAAAGGATAATACTCTGGTGCATACCATTATCATGACAACTCTGATTAATATCCCAAGATTTTAGAAAGCATGAATTTGCTTTATAATTGTCCATTGGAATTTTTTTCCTCCCTCTTTTTTTTTCTCCCAAACAGTATTTAGCAGTAGCTGTGATTTGGAGGTCCCACTAGCCACAGCTTGACACAGTGAAATTATGACAAACATTTCAAAGCTTGTGAAGCTTTGAACTCCTGAAGTCCTTGGGCTTCAGACACACTTCCTGTTTGCCAAAACACTTGGGGATTTCTAGATTGCTCAGAATTTGATATTGGAGCACATATTCTTTTTCTGCAGTGCTACACACATGTTCCCCAAATCAATTGCTGACAACACAGAGAAAGAAGGTTATGTCTCTTCTTTAATTCCCTTTTTTTTTATGTTACTACTTTTCTTTCCCCCTTTTCACAGTTCCCTTTGTTATGACAAGTACCCAGTAACATTAGAGTCAGTGCAGGTTTTCTGACCTATAGTGTTCAAATTTATTGAACCAAACAAGCTTATGCCCTGCAGAACTGCTGGTACCAGTACATGTAATGTACTCTCTGTCTAAAAGCTTCTACCACGTGTTTGCTTTTCCTGAATGTTTTAAAGTCTAGTTAATTATGAACCCTGTCTTCTTCTATTCAAGTCTGAATTAAATTCCCCGAGTCTCAGTGGAGCGGTCTGAATATGTGCTGGAGCTGTGTTTTCCAACCCGTGACTCCAAAAATCTCCTATACTCCAACCCTTGCCAGATACAGCATTTAAGAGTCTCCGATTTGATAGCAGCTTCCTGAAACCCATTTGCAACACAAGCGGCCCTTGTAGAGAAATTCTTGGGAGAGTGAGATAAGACACAGGCTCTGAGCTGCACCGTCTTGTGGTSGGGGGGCAATTAGAGGACCTGCCAATATCAGCAGCCCATTCTGTGCTGCACAGAGGCCACAACATCCTTGTAAACAGAGACTGGACTCAGGAAACAGACACACAGCAAAACTCATGAAACATCCTGCCAGGAAACACCAGATTCAACAATACCGTCAGCCTGCAAAAAACAGCCAGCTCAAGCAACATCACGATGCACACAATACAGCCGCAGAAACATATGCCCATCAAAAGCCCCAAAACTTTTCTTAACAACTGTCATGCCTCCATGGGCTCATAGACATACAGTGTTTGCTCCTTATGGGCAGATATATATTCAGAGCACAAACTAAAGCATGCACACTTGAAAGAACAGACCAAGCAGGAGTTTGGCACACACCCAAGTTTTACAGCATATTCTAGCTACAACCTCACTTTAATGGACTAGTCTACTGAGATGTGTAGGGATTAATTTCTCAGGGATGTCATCCAGTGTGTACTCTTGCTCTCAAATTCTCTCCAGGTCCTGGTCTTGATTTAACTTCAAGTCAGACTAAGTTTGCTACAAAGAAAGGCTGTTCACGTAAAAGTCTGTTTTGGATAGCGACAGTAAATACACTTATTTCATCAAAGCAAAGCCAAACTACACCTATTCATGCTAGCTTGGTGATCTTTTTGAGTTGCTGACCTGTGATGCATTAAAAAAAAGGTTCTGACATGTTTGTTTTTTTATTAATACATAAACCTGAGTTTTGCAAGTGGTTTCAAAGGATTATAATATGATCCTTTAAATAAATGGCAGTTTTAGAAGACAGTAATTAGGAGACTATTCTAGTTCTCCCACAGTATCCCTAGGCATTTGATTCAAGACAGCACTGACAGAGGGAAGGATATTCTCATGCAGGAGTGGCCTGTTAATGAAAAATGTTGGTAGTGATTGCTAATTGGACCTTAAGACTGATGCAGTAAACATGCTATATGCCAAGACAAAAATATGCTGAGGTAGCTATGTAGTAGATATGTTACTGTATCCACAAGCTAAATAGTYCTTTAAGCAATGCAGAAGTGGTAGTGGCATGTGCAGTGGTGGCATCACTGACAATCCATAGCAATAGTAGTTACAAGCAGATAATGCAAGACCATTCAGGTGCTTGCTACGGCAAGAATTACCATATTCCACAGTAACTGCCCTGCAAATTCACCATACATGGAATTTCTTTGCAACCTGAGGAACATACATAGTGGAGGAGACTAGAGCAAAAAAAAAAAAAAAAAAAAAAAAAAAAAAAAAAAAAATATCACTGAATCGTATGGTTATTTGCCAATAAGTTTCAAATAGTTTCAAAGATTTATTTACCCTCTCCCTGCTCTTACAGGAAATACAATCCAGGAAGCCTGACGTGATTGCAGCTTCAGGGTGCTAGACCAGGAAAGAAGCCAGGTTTATGTGTCTCTAGATTCTTGAAAATGACCATTATGATTTAATCTAGCTCCACCACATTCTTTGCATGACAGCACATTTGGTCACAGTTTGCCTTACTTACTGAAAGGAAAAAAAAAACCAACACTTTTTCTGTATACTGAGAGCATCTATTAACAAGATACTGGCTACTCTAATGTATCCAGCTGTCAAGARACATATCTCTCCTTGCAGTTAACATCTGACTTTGAGCATGTGAACTTTCCCCAGGAAATAGTTCCTAAACTAGAAAGTGCCAGAAACGAATTTCTGTGCTTGATTTGTTCCAATAATACTTTTGGCSTCTCGTGACCTGTGACCTTTGAGCTGATACAACAATTTTGGATGACCTGGAATTTATATAAGTTTATCTGAAATTTAAATTACTTTCCTCTCAATGCTTATTACCAATCCGATTATCAGTTGCAATAGCTAAGTTTGTGACACCTTGGTATTTGCCACAGTAGTGGGTTATGATGGCAGGGTAACCATGTCTTGGAATTTTGTCCCAGCTTTAGCCAAAATTATTTTTGATTACCAACAAAGGCAAGTGTTTCAGAAGAGAGATCAGTAGCAATGTACTTATTAGGTGGTCATCAGTAGACTTCAGAGTTACCACTGCTTAGAACACTGTTTGTTAAGACCAGCTCCAGGATATTCTGGCATAGCCTTTTTCCCTTGGCTGCAACGAAGTCATGATGTTGACATTTATTACACTTGTTACAGTCCATTGATCTTGACTCAGTAAAACATAACTGCAGCTATCTCATATTTTAAGATTTGGGTGAAACTCATCATTTTCAGTATACCAAAGTCCGAATTTTCACAGAAACCACAGAAACCATCATAAAAGTGCAGCACCAGCTCCGTGTCCCAACCCATCTGATCTTTGATCGTGACTGCAATATGTGATTGAAGGAAGGAAGGGAAAAAGAGGGAAAGAAGCTTGTACATCCACTTGTGCACAAATAGGAGCTACTAGTAAGAGGGAGAAGTAAGAAGGTTTAATGCAAAATATATGGCTTCTGTAATAAACCATCTCTCTTTGCAATGATCCTATGGTGAAAAGCTGTCAACACTTAAAGGCCACAGCAAACACATACTCCAGACAAAAAAAAACATGTATTTTAGAATAAATTATGCAACCAGTATTTAATGTTAGCAGAAGCAGTAATGCTCAGTTCTCTTTTTTTTTTTTTTTTTCTGGGAAGAAGCTCTAAAGGGTTTTTCAAACATTAACAGGTAAACAGGTAACAAACTCCTAAGACACAGGCATATTTCATATTCCCCTTCATATTGATAAGTGCATAAAAATACCTGTGGATATACAATAAGCTACCTGAAAATTTGAGAACAGAGAACCTGGAGTCTCAGATATTCTCTAACTGCTCAWCGGAGTGTGTAATGCAAAACAGAAAGCATGAATGATCATAGTTTATCTCCAAACAGTGGTGTTTCATCTATATTGATTTGCAAATACTTGCAATTATTGCAGTAGGATTGTGGACCCTTGGAAAAGGTATTCCAGCCAAGCGATGAAAGGTCCATTTTTCCTAACTATTCTAGAAGAACATTGCAAACTGTCATTGAAAGCTGTTGCTCTAATCCACAGGAAGCTGGAGATGKGTTTAGAGGAACTATACTGAGGCAATGCACACAGTTAGCAGGTAATTTACATATATGTGGACAGCAGGAGCTAGTCCATCAGTCCTTCAGCTTCACAAATCCCTTCCAAGTGTGACCAAAGAAAGTTTTCAGTTACTTTAGCAGTAGGGTATTCTCTCTTGCTTTCAATTAAATCTTCTGAGCTATTTGCTCAGGACTGCAAGTGTGAAGCTTAATTCCAGAAGGTGTTCAGGAGCTCCCATCTTCCTGATCCCCTCGAAAATTTGCCCTTCTTTGCAGAATTATGTCCTGGTAAAGGCTGTATGTAGCTGTTATAACTGGAGGGTTGCATACAGTGTGTATTCCCGCATGTGGGGCCAGTGGGACAGGTGTGAAAGGGCTACAGCCCAGTTCCCAACATGAACAAACTCACCACATCCCTGCTGACAGTTATATGACTTACAGCCTGAAATCTGCCAGGGGTCAGGGTTGCGTAAATGTATGGAAAGATATGAGAAAGATGGTAAAATTAGGACAGAAATCTTACCAAGAACAAATGCCGAGGATGCCTATTTTTGCCAGACACTTTCATCAGCGTTCCCTCTTTGACAAAGATCTGAAGGAGAAAACAGCAGATTGTAACCTGAGACGTCATTCTGAATCTTACTGAGAAAAGAGAACATTTCTCCTGAGGAAAGAGCTACTCCAACCCTATTYGTCAGCACAAGAAGAGACAGAGAACCTCAACACTTATTCTAGCCTTGCTCTTTACGATTTGGCTTAGTTTTTGCTTGGGTTAGCTCTGCTGCCCTTCATGGCTTGCATTTSTGTCAGTACAAAATGGGTCGGAGAACTACTTGTCCTCAGCCCACTATTTCTGCACTGTGGACGGTACTCAGATGTGACTGTCACAGATTGCAAAGCAAATATATAAAGGGCTTTAGAAAAGAATTCCTGTCTTTACAAGTCCTTTAAAACAGACAGACCAAAGAGAAAAGCTGAAAGCTTGGGTTTTAGTATGCTACACTCACTTAACTATACCCACACRTATAATTAGTATAATTTCACCAGCACAATACTTTTTCGGTCCATCTTATTACTATGTATGTAGCTAGGACTGCATAAGTAAGCAGCTAAACCAGCACGCTAGAACTGCATTGCAGGAATGTTTGAAAAAGTCTGCCATAACTGGACTACATCAGTGGATTAACAATCATCTGCTCTTTTCATATGGAGAAGAGGAAGAGAATCTGGTGCAGTTTTCCACTCTTGAACAGTTTATAATCAAAGAGACCAATCCTACAAATTCTGCATGCTGGGCTTTGCAGAATTTGTTAAAGCATTACCTGGCAAGGGCAAGTGAGGATACTGATATTAGAAAGAAAAACAAAGAATGACTGCAGTATTTGTCTGATGAGTATTCTTGTGCTATGAGTATGCATGCCTTGAAAATTGCTTTGTGAATTTTGTTAAAGATGCTGGTGGACCGAAGGGAAATTCAGAGTTGCAGAACTTAAGAAAGCAATCTTTTGAAGCGTAGAGGCAGGTTGGAGCTGAGGAAACTGGACAGATTTGAAAACCAGAAGAAGAAATCTGYGTTTGATGTGGATAGCAAGACAGAGCTGTACACTCTTTCATATTTCTATTGATGTGTTGCTTAAAAACAGTGTCTTGTATTAAAAGCACCATGGGGGAATGGTGGAAATATAAATTTGAAAACAAATTAATTGCTCTGATTTAAGGTTCTTGCCCAGTGATATAAAGTCTTTCCAGACTGCAAGCAATTCCTGCAGCCTTTYGACAGGAGTATATAAGGAGGAAAGCAGTAGCTCCATCAAAATACACTACACTAGGGGTGAATGAGGACAGCTGAAGCGAAAAGTCAAATGGCTGCTCTGTGTAAAAGCAGAGATAATGCATGTCTTTCCCAGCCTGACCTTCTTTTTTAGCACTGTCAGAATGTTTTTCTACACAAAGCTATGCTCCAACTCTTATCACAGTAGCTCAGTAAACGACCTCTGTAGACGTCTGAAACACGGTCATTCACACAGAGAGATTGCTGGACGGAAAAAACGCCCCTTACCAGCATGGGTCTACCTGCAGCACTCACCCTTCCTGGCTGGAGGAGGCTGGTCTGCCCTCTCACACTGTGCTCAATGTGTACTAGCTTCTGCAAGTTTTCCTGGGAGAGAGAAACAGCATTTAGAAGACTGTATGGAGACTGTTTTTATATAAGCAGGCAAATCTTCCCTCACTCGTTCTCACCATTTTATTTCTTTAGAACTGATATTACAGAATTAGGTTTCAGAGAGAACTGAGACTGAGGATTTTACACCCAGAAAGTCTTCTTYCTGCCTTACGGATTTTACATAACCTCATCACCTGCATTCACATCTGCCTGACCTTCTACAGTTCTTTTACCTGTGATTTCCCAGTTCACCTTCCAAAGGGCCTGCTAACTCCATATGGTATTTACACATTGGCTTCTTTGCTGACTTTCTGGCTCTGGGAACTAATAAAATAGGGGGAGAGACAAAGTACAGTGTCTGCTCCCAAGTCCTGTGCATTAGTGCCATGACACAGTTAATCTAAAGAAGGCTTTGCTAATCTGAAAATTATTATTCTGTGATGATGGAATTATGCCTTTCCAATAGGGGATTTAGAAGGTAAACTAGTAAACAGGCAATGAAGCTGCATTTCTGTTCTGATGCTTTGCAAAARTTAGGAAGTTTATGATCAAACTCCGATACTATTAACTGTTTACCTGGCCTTAAAGCACACCCGATGAGTGGGCACTGGCATCAGGCATGAGCTTATCTGTGAGGATGGTTAATAAGATTAACCTGGATAAGCCCRTGCTCCCATGAAAAAATCAGGTGCATATAAGAAGGAAGAAGGGATGTCTGTATCCCTGCAATATTACTAGTCTTTTCAAATCTCTTCCCATTTAGCAGGTAAGGCTGTTAAAACAAAGGCTTGTGAATAGGATTCAGCTGTGGTTTTTATCTGATCAGAACAGTAGACTGGGCTGCCCAGCAGCAATGAGTCATTGCTGGAATATGCCTAAAAATTAGGAGTCTCCTAAGTTAGCCGTTGTATCCTATATCCTCAGTTATGCACACAGATAAACTACAGACTAAGAACCGTATTTGATACAGCTTCATGACCTGACAGCCTGTGAGTACAGTTTACTGCTACAACAGGCAGTGGTGTGTTTTCCTTTGCTCCATTGATTGGCATTAAGTTACCCCTGGGATTAGTGAGACTTGATTAGATCATACGCTGTATCTGTCTGATACAAATCAGTGGTGTCTGCAGAATCAGCTAATTAAGAAAGCTATCACAGATACCAGATGGAGTATATCCAAGTCAACATGTTGGTATGCCAAGGCTAATTTACCCTGGATTTCAGCTAACACAATTAATGTACCTATCTAGACTTTCTTTTTGAGATAAGTCTGAAATACCTCCATATCTTACTGCTCTAGTGAAATATTACACTTATTTAGCATGATATTAAGTTTACTTCTTAATCGGTAACTTAATCAGCCATCAAATACATGGAAATACCTACAAGACTCGACCAGCACAGGGCTGCATTGTGCCCATGAGGTGTCATTGAGAGTTGACACATTGTAAAGTACCTCTTTTGCAATGTAGGAAGTAGCAAATGGAATTTTTCAGGTCACTTCTAAAATACCATAGGCCAACAAAATGGAAACAACATATAGAGMAATAGCACAGGAAATATCAGAAATCATGGGAACGCTGACTTTTGCAAAAGATACTTGAAAAGGACTTTTCCACCACTGAAGGATATTTTAGCCTGGCAAAACTTGGGCAATTGACAGCATTCACAATGAAAAACCTTTCGTCTGCAGAAAAAGCAGTGTCCTCCTTTGAGCACACTCCAGCCAGTGCTAGTACTACTCATTTGGGTTTCTACGAGAGCGAGAGAAGTTACAGAAGTTACAGTTTTCTCAGGACTGCCGGCACAGAAGTGCCTGTTGAAATGCTGATATTTGCAATATGGACACATGTTCACCAGGAAACGGACAGAGAAGTATTGAATTCATTTCCTGAAGGAAGTCACACTATCACATATGAAGGATAGTGGTTTATCTGGGAAGGTGGACAGCTGAGTGGGGGGAGGGAGTTTAGTTCCCCTAAATTCCCTGTTTATATAGCTTTCTTCATTGGTCTTAAAAGTATCATAATTCTTCTTTCAAAGATTGTTCACAATCCTACAATTATGKAATAAAAGCAAAGCTCCACCCAGATAATACTGCAGATGTGGCTGTCAGAAATTCCGCTGTGGCCATTTTAGCAGTGAACTGCAGCTTCCATAATTTTGTCATGATGTCTATGCAGCAGGAACACCTCCCTAAGGAATTCACCAGATGTTAATAGYAGCAGTGATTTATAGCTCTTAGATGCTCAGGGCCACGAACAGATTGTAGACATTCAGAGAGCGATACAAACCTTTAGTTCATCTGCTGGAATTAAAGACAGACATTAATACTCTGTGGTGATGGTGTGCCTTAAGCATCTGTTTGTACATCTGTAAACTGAAAGCAGTATTTCCCTACCTGGTGAAAATGCTGTGGAAATAGTTATAGTCATTATGTACTTGAAAATCCTGGGTTAATAGTTACCCGGAAAAACTGATAGAGTCTTATTATCATAAACAAGAAAAGCTAATAATGGGTCATAGATATTCTCTAGAAAATGTAGATCATAATTCAGTGCTTCTATGAGATTTTTGGAGTGTTGTTTGATGAGCTAGTATGTGGTCAGAGAAATCTTCCTCCTTCCAGCTATATGCTAAGATTAAATTATTTCTTACAAATTCAACCAGGTACATGACAATTTATTAACACTCTAAAATGAGCAGCATTGTTCAGTTTATTTTGTAATGTGAKTAATTACTTGCTTTTATTTTTTCTTTCACTAAAACCGAGAGAAAGAAAAGAAATGCTGGTTGTGGCTTTTTTTGGCTGGCATGTTAATTCAGGAGGACAACCTCTGAGTTAGCAGAAAACTGAACTTTGTTTCCTGTGAACCTGTGCCTTCACAATACCGCCCYCCGCATTCACACAGATGGGAAAGAAGGAAATTTTGTTTCATCTCTCCCATGCCATAGTTTTGAAAAAGAGCAGATGTGCTCTGATGATTTGATAAAAAATAAGTGTAAAAATCTATTTGGAATTTGTGATGAAACTATTCAAAAAGAGACCTTACAGATTGTATTTCGTGATAAAACTCTAGGCTTGTTAGACATACTCCTTGCAATCTACATCTGTTCTTTCATCTTAATAACCAAATAGCATGTTCTTCCCTAACAATTCATGTGTATTTGTTTTTTCAACCTTAAAATCCTACCTGAAAACAAGCTCTTACTAAGAAGATTGGTATTTTACTCCTTTCCTTCATCTGCACTGATGCGATGATCCTACACGTGATGTTTTTTCTCTTTSCCTCTTAAATTTCATGTTTTGATGCCTGAATGATTATTCACAACCCTCTCTCTGGTCAGGAAATGAAATAATAAAGAAGTGAGTTGAACGGCATCTGTAACTAGCTATGGTGTTTGCAATGCAATGCCAAATACTTCTTTAACTTAGTAAAGGCCCAGCAAAATTCCAGGGCAGGATGTTAAATTCGGCAATGCTCAAATGAGAAGTAAAACGTGAAAGGTCCCCTAATATATCATACATTCCCAATAACTTGAAAACCCCGGGACCCAATGTAATGATGAATACTTTGCTTTGGAAAACTTTGTGTAACTTATTTAGATACCTGAATCTGAATTCAGACATGAACTGTAATCTGTGAAAGGCCAGTCTGGCTGTGGGATCATTTGCAAGATTATAAACTATGACCTACCCTTCTGAAGTAAAATGGGATCCCAGAATTGTGGCAAAATTATGTAAATGAGCTCAGATTCTATCTTTAATAGATTTGATAGTACCTTTGAACATTTTGTATCTAAAAACATCCCAGTCTAGAAATAGAACTGTGAAAATTCCCACTTCTTCCTTCATTGGTCCACACAGCATTTCAGCAGCCCCAAGAGGTAAAAAAAAAAACCCTTTGTGCTACTGGTTATGGCATCTTACATCTTGCACAGCTACACTAAAGGGCATAGACCAACTCCATATCTGCAGTACTGTAGGCCAGATCTGTATAAGCCTTGAGTCTCACCTTGGACAAGGCTTCAGAATTTAGCACACATATGTATTCACTGAACAAATATGTAGAAAGCACCCTATTGATTTGGAGAGCATGTGTCATGGTAGGACTCACCGCTTGGAGCATGCTGTCATTGGCTTGGTCCGTGATTTCAGAAACAATGAATAAGGCAGCTGAAGGATGAAGCAAAACAAACACTATATATCACATGAAAGAGTAGGAAAAGAAATCTCTCCTGTTTGCAAGGGCATCCTTTGACTGTCACTATCATAATGCAATGTCKAGCAACTTTGACATGGCACACTATGCTGTCCCCCCTTGCTCCCTTCATCATTCTCGTGTGAAACCGCATCACACTTGTGCCGACCTAGAGAGCTTATGAGGTTCCTTTTAAGCACTCAACATGGCACGAAATCTTTTTTTAATGTTTTTTAGTTGCAGATTTTTGTCAATGTCTTGTGGTATAGAGAGATGAATGTAACCCARCTTCAGGCACCAAATAACATGGCAGTCTACAGTGTGCCTCTTACCGTTGAGGGAGAGGACACGTTATCCCCTTCTGACAGAAATGTGCATGAAGTGGTGACATGAACTAACTCTTGKATTTTCCACTGGCAAATAATCTGGGCTAGGGCATCTTGGCTGGCACTGAGAGCAGTGGCATAACACAGCTCATATCCTTATTTCACATCCCTTCCCCTGTGGCACAGGGCTTCCTATCAATTTCTGGCCATAACCTGGGAGCACGATAGCCATTGCTGACCAGAAATGGGACAAGTGTCTGCAAACCACAAACAGGGTAGGCAATTGTGACCAGAGGGCTCGAGTGTCTTCCCTGCTGTTGTTTAAATTACTGGTATAGGTGTAGCTCTACTGTTAGTGACTAGGGTCCTAGATCTTGCATCAGTCTCTGCTCCTGGTCAGAATAGATTCATTTTCAGTCAACCATTGACTTTATTGCAGTGAGTTGGTTTGGATTTACAATCAGTGTAAGAGGGGTGAACTGGCTTTGTTAACACAATGTATTGCTGTACTCCAGCCAGGTAACTACTCCTACAGACACCACTACTCAACCTTGCTTTGATTTCAGTGGGAGCAAGAGACTTCTGCTTTACGTGTCTCATGTGTTGGAAAGGATGGTGTTAGCAGTCGATTTGTTCTCGGTTTTGCGGAACTGATTTTTATGCAATTTCTTTCAACTTTACGTAGCCTTAAGGAATCCGGAATAACAGATACAAGATTCAAACTTCCTGGGTTTCTCCCAAGTTCACAGAGCACAGCAGGCATATCATAAATAATGGGACACAATCAAGCAGGGCGAGCTATCCAAATTGACATCACAATGACCAGGCCAAATATGTAGACAGCCAAAGAGGACTAGGATTTCCTCAAATGACTGTGGCAGAACTACAGTGTCTGCRTTATGCCTGTATAGATGATATTTTCTTCCTCTATAAGTTCTATCATGTCAAAACTATGGGAAGTCCATATATTTAAATTAAAAAAATAGGAATCTTGTCTTAAATTATTTGTCTGAATTAGTGATCAGTTCTTATAGATTTTACATCTAACCTATTAATGCAAAATCTGGAAAATAATCATCTTCCATGTACTACCAGTATAGAGATCTTGTACCTTTTTAGAGGCAATGTTAGCAAAGCAGAATTTTTCTTCCAACAATTTCRTTTTACCTTGTGTCGCTTCATACTCTGTAGAATCAGGACAAAGATTGTTCAAGTAATCTGTAGAAAATGATCAAACAAACACAGATATCCAATAATCTGAATACAGATCAACATAATTTGTAGCATTGTTAGCTAAAACATAAAATCCTAATCACAAAATCCGACACTGGTTGAGGTTGGAAGGAACATTAGGTATCATCTTGTTCCAATCCTTCTGCCATGGGCAGGAACACATTCCAGCAAACCAGGTTGCTCAAAGCCTCATCCAACCTGGACTTGAACACTTCCAGGAATGGGGCATGCACAGTAATGTCCGACAGCACTTTATTCCCAAAAAATTAAGTGCACATATAGCCTCTTCCGAAAGCAAAACTCATCTTTGATGGTATTTTGCTGTTGGCAGGTATAAATAAACAAGTAGTGACAAAAATGTTTMTCAGTCAAGAGAATTGCTGAGTAGCATTACTTCACAAATAATTATTCTTCTAATGAATTCTGTTTTCCCATCTGAATGGATGCTGTTGGYTCTATTTATAGTTAGAGTACATGAATCATATGCTTTTTATGGGCACAGGAAGGTGACACTACTTCTGTACAAGCAGGGTTTAAATAATTACTATTGAACTCAATCATATTCTGAAAAAAGTTTTGAAAGATAGATACAAAAGTGTTTAGTGTGACAGCAATTATATCTGCATTATGTCCAAACTTTTAACCAGTGTTTTTTTGGACTATTTTTCTTGGATCATCTGCTTATTCCATGTCTGGGTCTTTATGCTTTTAAAGACTGTAGTATATGAGTACTACTGTTTTAAGAGCCTAGTCTTGGAAATACTTCATTCTCATCTTGCTGATTAGTCCAGACTCCTAAATTCTGCATTCAAGAATTAGACCTCTGTGCTGAGAATGATGCTTTGCACAGATGTCTGTTTCCTTGAACGTCTTATCCATACATATTTCTCTTTCTAGTGCTGTGCCTTCCCTGGCATCTTGAACTCTACCTGGCTTTTGCCTTTGCTCCGGAAAGCATCTGCCTGTACTCAGGCAGGCAGGAAGGGGTTGTGTGATGTCATCAGGCAATATTTAGTGTTCCTTTTCACTGCTGCAAGCTCAGTCCTTAGCTATGGACKGAGTGGACAAATCCTTTTGGTTGTGGTCCAGCTATTGGCAACCAATATCCTCATGAATACCCTTCCTTATCTGGTAGAATAGGCCAGTTATCACACAAGTACACCTGAGAACCTGAAGGACTGCACCATTCCACACTCATCCTGTTCTAGCAGGCAAAGAGGGGCTTGCTTTCTTGAGGTGAAGAACTGGAGTAGTAAACCTGTTTTCTGTAATATCTTAATCCAGCAGACCTTACTTCACTGCACACAAAGGCTTTCGTTTTCCCAGTTAGTGTCAGTACCTGAGACAAGGAGGAGCTCAAGTTGTTTCAAGCACAGATGGGGATCCAATCAATGGAGCTTCACGGAAGCCCTTCCAGCTTTCTCACAAAATACCATGCTGCCTGTTTGCAATTTATCTTGTGAACCACAGAAATGAGAAAAAAAAAAAAAAAGAGGACAGAAGGGATGTTTCTGACAGGGATAGTCCAATTCCCTTTACATAGATGCAGCATTTGCGTGTATGCAGCACACTCTACGGATCATGTGAGACTGCTAAGTACTGCAAGGCACAAGTCTAGAAGCTGCGCTTAATGTAGACACGGCCAGAGAGGGAATAAAGTCAGACAGAAACAGAGTCCTAGTATTGGCATCCAGCGTTCCTTTATTGCCTGTACTGAAAAAGCAAACCCATCTGTGAATAATGAGTTGAATCCTTGATCAAAGTGTCTGGAGAAAGATGAAACTGCTGGTAATCTCTGCTGTTGATAAAGTTTTCATATGGTTACTTTGATTTGCTGCATTTATAGGAGCCCCTTCTAGTATGCTGTGCCCTTCATCGGCCGTATGGGCAGGGTTTATGCTTATGTTTTTACTGTCCCATACATAATTAATCTTGCATGCCTCTCCACCCACACATCTTTATGCCTACTCGATCCTTGCTCTTTTGTGTTCTGACTAAATTACTTGACAACACAGAGTTTCATTGTTGCATTTCACAATTTCCATCCCTATCCAGTTCTAAACTTCCCAGTTCTTTCTACGGGCCACATCCTCCTTCAGTAAGCCTGCTCTCCTCACAGACTCAGAATTGCTAGATTTGCTGTGGCTTGCAGAGAAGGAACATAACCCCTCTTGGAGAGACTCCAGGTGGGAATTATACATATGTAAAGGGAAAGAAAATGAAGCAAAATTTGACTGGGTTTTTGTCTAATCACGAGCTTTAGGTGTACTGTGCATAGGACTTTTGGTGCACTATTGGGTACAACAGCTTTKTTGATAAGGAGATGGTGCTTGCCACTGTCATACAGGATGCAATGCAGAGTCTCCTTGCTGAGGTCACCTGCCTTCTACTCTCTCTGATAACTGCTCTTGACATAATAAAAAATCAAACCTGTTTGTTGGCACTGTGGCTGACCTCTGCCTCTCCTGATCTGCAGGAGGAAAAAGCCAAGAAGGAATGGCTAGGAGTACCTGCCTGCACCTTTTTTTGCGACCATTCTGCATGGCTGTCCTGTGGAAGTGCCTGCTTCTTCCCAGGCTGCCTGACAGCCCCTGAATCCTGTACTAGGCATACTGAAGTTCCCAGGAAATCCCATACTTTAGCCTTACTACTTACTTTAGCCTTACATGCTTTAGCCTTACTTTAGCTATTTTGGCATCAATATGTAGCACAGTGGAGGCACAGAACATCATGGGAGTGTTTCCTTTGGGTACTTTTGAGAGTGATTTTACTGACCTGTGAGCAGCACATGATACTGGAAGAGACGCTGCACCACTTTCAAAAGCTGGTATTTCACACTGTAAGGGCTGTCACCGGAGCTCTGCTGTCCTCAGCAGAAGGGAAGAAACACAAAGATCAGAGGCGATGTGAGCTCAGAAACAAACCGTCATCTCAGTTATTATCCTAGTTATTAGCTCTAACACATCCTCAGAGAGCTTGATGAGTTAATAAGAGACTGAGAAACCATGCCACTATGTTTCACCAAAATATACTCACAAATCTGTAGATTCACCAATACACATTCTGTATGCATACAGGGGTGTGTGGGCAACAGCCACAGAAACAAAAACACATCATGCACAAGYGAACTTCTCACTTCAGTTTTAGCACCACAGCTTTGAAGAAGACTATTCTTCCATTGTACCCTATGTGTGAACACTGGTGGAGTTGCAGAAAAAAAATCCTTTTTTTTATTGCAAAGCCATGCATTAGCACACGTAAAAAAACAATGTGAGCCTTACCTCAAACTCTTGAATCATGGTAGCAAGTTGGGAATATTTATGGCACATTTCATCTAGCAAAGCCAAATTCCTGTCAAACTGCATAATGTATGCTGTGTGGTGATTCAGCCTTGATTTTCTGGAGAGAAGAACATCAGCAACTTTCTCATGTTCCTCCCTAAGAAAGAAAAGAAGCAGGAAATAAAGAAGTAAAGTAAAGAAGCAGAGCCATACTTCTTGCTTGTGTATTAGAYGCACAATGGCTCAACACCTAAAGGTTAGGTTAAATGGCAGGAAAGAGAGAGCGCTTCAGTGACAGACTGGACAACAAGGGCTGATGTAAAATGGGCACCATGAGCGGGGGACCTTTGCCATTGCCTCTACCATAGGAGCAACTTCTGTCCACAGAGGCTCCTTCATGACACGGCTCCTGCTTCTGTAAAGAGACCTTTCAACTGCTGCAGTGCTTTGAATACTGTTTGTGGGGGAGAATATAACATCTGTTGTAATATTAGATCTTCAGCTCTCCTTCACTGCTTTGCAGCACAGCCCCACTGTCATCTGTCTATGCAATAGTATTCTATTCACCGTCATCTGTCTATGCAATATGCACAGTATTGAAATATTTACAAAGCATGTACAAGGAGAGAACAGAACAAAATCTGAGTTTGCAAAAGAGTAATCATACTTAATACAGGAACATGAGTTCCTGGGGATGTCTAGAGCAACAGAGTGTCTGGGGGAGTGCAGGCACAGGAAAGGGTTTTTACTGGAAGCTTCAAGTGTGATGATGACCTGGGAACATTTGTGAGTGCAGGTCTATAATAAACATAGTTCTGCTGTGTTGGCAGCATTTGTAATAACAGTCCTCTTTTATCCCCAGTGCCACAGAGCGGTTCTGGACAGAACTCCTAGGACAGTTATGGTTGTGTTCTTTTTGTCTTAGGGAACTGGCAGCATGGTGTTAGAGAAGGGCTGTGGCTTCTTTAGGATCCAAGTGCTTTTAGATCCCAGCTGGAAACACCACTTCTGTTTGTGTTTTAAGTGTAAAAACCACAAATCATCGATGACACTTTTAAAGTCTTCCTGCCAAGAGTCCCTTGGTGGACAGAAACCAAAACACAGTTCCCTTTAGTCTCTCCTTTCCTTGTTGTGTGCTTTGACTGGGAAGTGCAAGACTGCAAGGAGACAAGTGCCCTGCATTTAGTATTGTTGCCGAAAAATTCTCCTCGTCTAACTGACTTCCTTAATTGCTCATTGTCAGTGCAGAAATAGGATCATTCATCCTCCGTGACTGCTGCCTCCTGGAGTCGAGCAAGTTGAAGGTGTGGGGCTCCGTGGTCCATCATTCAACAGAACCTGGCAGCCTGGCTTAAGTCATGGGTCTCCTTAACTAAATGGATTTTGGAGTTTTGTCTGTTCTAGTCATGGTCTTATTCTATCATGGAAATACATTGCCCTGTAAGGGTGTTTGGTAGAGTCCCTCAACAGGCTGCCAGTGTCTGCTCGGCTTGGGAGCCTAGGCTAGCAGATCCCTGCCTTGGTGCCGGGAGCAAGGGGCTGTCCCTTAACTGAGAGCTACACAGAGTAGCTGAGTAGATTTCTCTAAGCAGATGATTTTTAGTATCTGTTCTGATCTAAGTTGTKCTGGCTTCCTATAGCATGAGTCTGTGACCTTCAGGCCTTGAGTGTGAAGCCACTTGGTGRTAACTGAGAACTGGCAAGGGATAATGCATATGAAACTGGGTGTTCTCACTGACTGACAGGGCCATCTCAGAATCATGGGCTGTTCACTACACACATATTTCAGCATTTGATTTCTTAGCCTGACAGACTCTACATTTACTTCCTTCCTGTCTGTATGAAAAATCTGCCAAAGTAGTTCATGTTCTACTCTTCTCCTTCCTGCTGGGATGGTCAAGGGAACACCAGTGAGTTCACCCACCTGTTATGGAGGGTATGTTAAGGCCATCAAATTATGCCATTCTGTACTTGCCATTTAAGGACTCTCTCTTCCAGTTCTTCCAGGATGTCTTGGTGTAATTTATAAATTTCAGGGAGTTCACTTAAACACTGCTTGAGTTTAACTCCTTCTTGCTCATTTTCATYATCATCTTCAAGCACTTTCAAGATACGTTCATAGAAATCCTGTCAACAACAGCACTGAAATGAGGCAAACAGACTTAAAATACCTTTTCCGAAATTATTATTACAATTTCTTGACTCCGAAACTATGCTCTCTAGGAATCAAAAGACATGCTATCAAATGTGATAGTATTCAGTATGGCAAAGAGATCACAGCTTACGTTTTCTTCAATCCATTAGTTCACACGTAGCTGCAGCTGMATTCCAATATGCTATCAATCTAATATTGAACATTCCACCAGAACAAGCCATAAGACCCTTATGYGTACAATCATTTTTGTATCTGTTTGTTTACCTTACCTTTTCCCCCTGCTTTTCTGGGTGTGGTTTGACTCATTTTTATAGTGTTTCTTAACCCAAAACATAACATTTTCAAATGAAGCATGAGATTCTCCCTTCATTGGGTCCAACGGCTTGATACGAAAAGCATAACAACTATATTGCCCTGTGCTAGAATTTGTACTAGCTACATTTGTGAACATTAATTTAAGCTATGGAACAAATAATTTCCCTTACGAAACCCGATTCTTTTCTTCCTCAGCTTGGAAATGCTTTTCATTCTGAAGTGGCTTATAAATTATGTTGGCATGGAGTAATTTCCTCTAGATTAAAATATAGACAGCTCCAGTACAAAATAGGCTACCTATTTAAGAGAGCATAGCAAAATGCTTTCCCCAGGTTTGAGCTGGAAGTGAAGAATAAAGCCTCCATCTGCAGTGACAATTTGTCTTAGATCCCTGGGAATTAGAAAATCATCACATTGTGCAAGATGGATAATCCCATACATACAGTTATCCTTTTCGTTGGTCAGCCCTGGTGCTAGTTAGCCTTTGTTAGATAAATGAGTTAAATGAGAACATTTAACCTTGCACGACACTTATGAAGGGAAGGAAAAGTAAATCTCTTATCAGTTAAAACACTGATTGAGGCAAGTAGTTTACCCAGGGAAAAAACCCGCCTCTCTGTACACATATACATGCATGTGCTATGTTGGGTGGTTCCTTCTCTTTGGCATCTACTTGAAAATAACTTGGAGTGCAGTAATTCATTTGGGATTCAGGATGTCTGTTTCCTTTTTCCAGATACACCAGAATAGGCCAAATTAGATCRGTTAATTCAATGGCGATGATTGAATCCCAGGGAACTGGAGACCGTTGCAACCAGTCTAGCAGAGGTAGTCAGGAAATGATAGGACTGAAGTTAGTTTCTACCTTTACTGTAAAAAGCTGATGGTTCTGCTGCCTGCAATGGGTTGAAAGCAACTATGTAGATTAAAAAGGTGAGTACACTGGAAGTCATCACATTTGACACTTTGTGAGGGGGCCAGGGGGAATAATAGGAAATCTTGTTCCAGCCCTAATTATATAAGTCTACACTAATTGCATAAAMCAATGCAGGATTTTATAACCATTCTCACTTCCAAAATGAAGGTGGATTCAATTGATTCTGCATATTGCAGAATCGAAAGCAACTTTGGACATCCAGGCATTATACCTGAGTGGAGGGTGAAGAGTTCAAAGGGGAAGAAGAGAGCCTCCATATTAAAGCCAAGTGCAAACATGAGGTGCTGTACAATATCCTATAAGCCAAGTATCACTCATGGCAGTTCTCAGAGGTATTTGCATCGCAGTCACTAGCCTTCTTCTAATGAAGAAAGTAGAAGCGGCACTCCTGAATTAAAAAGTGGCTCATCTCCTATAAGCAGACTTAATGACCCCTAATCTGTACAGAGCAGTGATCTCAAATTTCTCACTATTGAATTCAGCAGAAACAATGCCAGATGAACAGCAGAAAATGCTATCGCAGCAGTCACACTTAGTCTCCTATCCTGCCATTCAGGGTACAATCTAGGTCAGGAACTCTGACCTCAGCACATACTCACATGCAACCAAATACACACATTCAACCAAAATATTGCAAATGAATTTAGAACCAGCAGACTGTACGGTACACACTGAGAACACTGTATCAGTGTTGCTAGTTACCAGGGAATTGTCCCGATGCCAGATGTGTTGGCGTGGCATCCTTCTCCTTTCAGGAGATACACAGATTATCTGAAAGCTATTTTGGCTCAGCATTCCCACCATGGAAGCTCCCTGGCCAATACATGGTTATTTTCCCACTGCTGATGAACACAATAATGAATAAAAAATGAGAAAAAAAACAGCCCATTGTAAGTGAGGGTAGGCTATTCTTTTGTAATGGTGTATCCTTAGGCTTTTATAAGAGCTTCAGAGGGTCTAACAGTCAGCTAGCGCTTCATTTAGCCAGCCCATTCCATTCACTAAAATATTTAATTAGAAAAGAAATTACTTGATCAAGCCAGCAGAACTTTGAACATCATCCAAGAAATTCACAGTAGTAAAAAAGGCTCAGCAAATSATTCAGTGGAAGTGTAAATAATTAGAAAGATAGAATTCTCTTTTGTCTAACATGTAGCAGTGGCTCCTAAATTAGGTAGTTATTTTTTGTGCTGGAAAATGTGCAGCCCACAAGAATTCTGAAACTAGTTTAATCAATGAGGTTTAATCTCAAGTTAGAGATTTAGAGATCTCTCAAGTAGAGAGTTAGAGCACTAAGATATTTTTGTTATTTTTTACTTCCTAAGAAGTATTTTGCAGTCATAAGCATTCGGATGTCCAGAGCGGGGTTGAATTCCAAGTGCGGGGTTGAATTCCACTGCTCTGAAGGCTGGAGAACGAGCACATATCTATTCTTATCATACGAATATTCACATCTCCAAACACTTAGGAAGAATAAATCTGKGCCTTTGTGTCTCTGAGAATTGTGGTCCATTGTTATGAACAAAATGCAAACCAGGAAACGGGATCAACTTTTTTTTAGAGGGAGGTGTTAAGGCTAATATTTTTTCTGTGCAGAGCTGTCCTTAATTCAATAAATGCCTGGGAGGGAAGTAATAACTACTTCAAAGGGGTTTATGCACACATAAAGAAGATGATTTCACGTACAAAAGCCAGAGGCAAAAGAAATCTGAACATGATGCACTGTCAAAAATGAAAGGCAAAATAAATATGAACATGATACACTATCAAGCAAATGCTTGATCCCACACAGACTGGGATTCTGAAGCAGTCTGAGTCACACTAGGTTTAATTTTGTACATCTTGTAAAGCCATTTGAAACAGACTGACTGAAGGCAAGCAAATCAACCATCTTGGTGATGTGTGAAATTTTAGGCTGAGAAAGCCACTTGTAGCATTTTGTTCAGGAAAAGGCACTAAGAAAAGGGTGTCAAGTGTAGTCTGCATTGGTGAGGAAGAGAAACGGGAGACAGAATGACAGAGTTTGGTGATTAAATTATCCTGAAAGAAATTCAAAGGATAATCAACTTTGGAAAAACTGTAAGTAGCAAGAGATCATGGACTTGGACTAAAAGGCCCTGCCAGTTCCATCTTCTCAGACCAGAATGAGTTCTTAACTCACTACCTTTGAGCAGGGCAAGTAACAGCTAACCTTTTAGATTATTATCCCTACTACCACACCGACTGATACCAAGTTTGGGAGCTAACACAAGGTTTCCAGTCTTTCAGCTGAAAGTGGGTATATGGAAATGTCATCATTTTGGCAATCAATCAGTTTATTAAAGTCTCCACTGAAAGGACAAACAGATTCTGTTACGCCGAATGAACAGCAGCACCAGCCAAGCCTGGAAATGAGATGAGAACTGCTCTTGCTGCATGCTTAAGAAAGGCCTTTATTTTCCTTTCTGGAAGCAGCTAGGGTGTGGTTTAGTTACTTGCCTTTCTTACTCAGATGTGGGTGTGCATGAGAAGATGAAACTTCAGACTTGATGATGAGGATTCAGAAACGGTTTTCTTGAGGGAATTGGTGATGGGGAACAGAGAGAAATGTATGCCTGGGTTGAGGAATGATATCAAGGAAGCCTTTGGTCCTAACTGGTCACGAATGGTGTGTTGTAACTTGAGAACAATTTGGTGACTGTTGTCACTTACGGTTGCTTCTGAAATCTCTCTGTGGAACTTGTGTCAACGGCAAGTGCACGGCAAAGCACCATTTTTTGCTGATGTGACTATTCCTACACGTATTCAAATATGGGAAAAGGAATGTAACATTTAGATTTTGTAACTTTTCGTGCTATGGCAGTATTAAAAATATTGCCTTGATTAGGCAATATTAACCCTGCATTCTAAGGGACATACATGTTGTACAATTGGTTATGGTTTCTACAGATACTTTGAACAATACACTAGGCAACAGGTGAATATAAAGATCCCACAGCAGTTGGGGTGGAAAAAGTGACAGTGTTGTGACTGTGGCTTTCTAGATTGAACACGATTGCAACAGAGAAGCCTGYAGTTTATCTCTGAATGCCACTGCTGTAGGCAGTTATCGTAGAGACATCAGCCGATAGGAGTAGAGATGAGATATGCCAAGGTGATAGGCAGTTAATGAAACAGAGAAAGATATCTTCTGATCCTGTTCCCATAAAGATTTTTGACCTCTTCTAAACTAAGGAGCACCTGAACTAGCAGACAAGTAGAAAAATAGGCTGCCCATTTCTCTCTTCTCCCTCATTCTCCGATCCAGGTTCCATTCATAAATCCTAACTATTTAGAAAGCCAACTCATATAAACAGTTAAATCTTATTTCAGAAACTTGCTAGTTGGGTCTGCTGAAGAAAAGCCTCCTGTACCCCTTAAAGGAGTGTATAGGTCAAGAAGTATAAGAACTTCTCCACTGCMTAAGAAAATAATCAAAATTGTGATTTTGCCCTTCTTAAGCTASATAGGTTGGTGATCATTCATCTCTCTGATGGCACCTCCCAGTCCTAAAAAAGATAAGATTTTACTAAACTTGCTAACTTTGCACACTAGTGAATTCATTCATGGGTTTACTTTAGGCCCATTTCTTACTCACATTTGACATAGTGACATCTCGTTTGCTGCTTTAAGTTTCATAGTGAAAGAAATAATGAGAACATGCAAAATATTCATAAAATTCCTTTACTCCAGTGGGATGGGCAGTCAGGGAAACAAAAACCCAGGAAAACAGGATTCAATGAAATATTCTGTTACAGGATGAAACATAAAAAACAAACAAGTGCTTCCAATTAAAATTAATGACTGACAGAAACAGAAAAACCAGCTGACCCAATTTCCCTCATGCCTTAAAAACCTTAATTCCGAGATTGGCAGACCAAGCTTCAGATAATGTTCCTTATTTTCTCTMATAAACATTTCTGCTTAGAAAGTGTCTGAGCTCCCAAGCGGGAGAACAGGGAGTAGTTACATTTTTGAGCCAAGCCAGGAAAACTCTGTTTTCATATATTTGAGACAATTCTGGAGTACTTCAGCAGACTAAATTGGCAATCAAACAGAGTTCCTCTCTAGCTAATCTATGGGCTGTAATTTTTTTGAGTATTCTTTTTATTACAGATTACCAACAGTTTGGAATCCATCCAGCTGGAGGGAAACAGCATGCACTTGCATCCATAATTATTTCTTAATTAAAACTATTTAGCAAACGTATAAACCAGATTCCCTGTCCCATGCTGAAATTGTTAACTTGGAAAAGAGAGCACAAATGACATTTCCTGTTTCTTCCAGATTTTTTTCTGCCAGCAGCAAATAGGATGATTATGAAAATGCATGAATTACTCATTTGCACACATAGCCTTGGAGCCAAATTCACTACATGGGGATTTACCAGAAGAAGCAGAAAAGGGAAGGGACAGGGAAAGGCCTGAAGCATTCCGTTCCTGACGCATTAACAGCACAGGCAAGGCAGCCTGACAGTAGATTGATGCCTATAGCAGCCACGAGAGTGCGCAGCCATTCGCGCCGTGGAAAAAGGCACTGAAGTGCATTGCAAGATTTAGATCTATAAAATGAAAATTTTGAAAATTGAAAATTTTTGTGGTGTTAGTAAGCCACTTTTATGTCCTAGAGGTATATGGAAAATGCCAGGATAAAATGCAAATGAGAGGCCTCCCCTAGACATCTGCACTAAATGCTGTCCCTCCACTGTATATGCATTCTAGTTCAGGCCTGCTTTTACATGCTGTCTATAATGTACCAGAGCACAACTGTTTTTTGAAATGAAAAATTAAATAGATGAAGAATATTTTAATGAAGGTGCATAGTGGCTAATAGTTTCTGTGCACAGTAATTTCCTGCATAGATATTTTTCTTCTCTGACGGTGGCAGAGGCATTTCCTTTTGTTTTTCTTCGCGATACTTTTGGAAATATTAATTTCAGTGAGGAATTTCTTCAGTGTTCTCAATGATCAGAAGCCCTGTAACCCACAGGTGAAGAAAGCACCCTGGCTTCCCCAGGGAACAGCAGATGAACTACAGCTATGTCTTACTGATGTAAAATAATGTGTTTGGCAGTGCAGAAATCAGAGGAAAGGCAAGACAGAAGACAAAAATGGCTAGGCAGATCATCACCAACTTACCAAAATATTGGTAAAGGAACTAGCTAAGCATCTAAGTCCCTTGAAGTGTCTGGTTCTGCTGCTTTGGTGGCTTGCTTGAGAGGCACAATATCATTGAGCAGGCAGCAATATCATAGAATCATAGAATATGCTGAATTGGAAGGAACCAATCAGGACTGTCAAGTCCAACTCATGGCYCTTTTATAGGACACCTCAAGAATTCCACACTGTGCTTGAGAGCATTGTCCAAACACTTCTTGAACTGAGACATGCTTGGTGTTACGGCTGCTTCCCTGGGGAGCCTGTTTCAGTACTCAACCACCCTTTGGGTGAAAACTGGTTTTCTAATATCCAACCTAAACCTCYGCTGATTCTGCTCCAGGTGCTCTCTCAAGCACTGTTGGCCAATGCTTTTCCCTCTAGATGGCAAATAATAGATTTGAACGGTTCACAGCAATCCCTTCCTGCTCAGATCCACTTAAATCCCTTCAATGCTTTTATGTCTTTTAAATTGCAGCTAAATAAAAGATAATTTAGGTTTGAGTGATTCAAATTATTTACTCACCATATGTAACAACTGGAGCATCTCCACATATCTGGAGAGAGAGAAAAACTTTTATTAATGGCCATCAAATGAATACTGAAGAGTGGACTGCATAGTTTCAATTTTAGAAGAGCAACAGGTAGATTGTAACAACAAACTCACAATTTTTCTGAAGACATCAGCTCCTGGGCAATGAGGTAAGCTCTGGATTGGCCTTCTTTCTGTCAACAGAAAAAGTCAGAGACAATTAAGAGATGTCTCATTCCATGAAGTAAAGCAGGTTTAGAGAGCACTTTGAATRTACTTAGCCACCACTTGGATATAGAGGGTCATCTGCACAGATCTTTTCAGGCTCTGACACACACTTATGACCAAACACAAGCCATCTACAATCAGGAAGCCGTACAGCTGACACTGAGAGATCAGATCAAAATGAAAGGGCAGAGAGAGGTGTAGGAAATCAGGATTTGCTATTTTCCTAGGCAGCCTCAATTCCTGGAGCTCAAAACTTTAGAATAACATAACCATTTGTTGCATGCCTACCTAATGAGCTATGCTTTTGATGCTTGCACAGTCTCACCAAGAGTACATTGTTAGGCTCATATTAGGTTTTAAGAACAGACACACACACACACACACACACACACACACACACACATTCATGCATGTATGCACACCCACCCACCCACACTGCCATGAAAAACAAAGGTAAATTTCTTCTTAAACCTGCTTGATGCCATTAAAAACCTGCACCCTTAGTCAGCTTACTGGAGGTAAAAACAGCTTGATATGGTGCCAAGCTGTGGTCACATTTCCATGGTCTTCTCCATAATTTGTTTAAAAGCTGTTTCTTTAATCAGGAATCAGTAAAATGAACCCAAAAACTAGTGCATTTTCCCATGATGAAAGAATTTCGAGATGGCAGAGACCTACTAGAYAGTTTACTCCCACAATGCAGAACTGGTTCCAATAATGCATTTGTCTGTTTTTTACTCAATGTAGTTTTTAATTCTCAAGATTGCAACTAAATGCTTTGGACTGAGACATTTCTCCTGACATTCAAGTCCGGCCTTTTTTTTGCAGTTTATGTTGCTTCCATTGAGCATCTTTGGGCTACATTCTTCGTTTTGCCACATGCTATAGGGGCAAATTATTCCTAGTACAGTGAGGCAGTAAAGGACTGATGGCTCCAACATTTCTAAATGAGCACAAGACACAGAGCAGAAAAACCTGAGAATCCAGATTCTTCTGCAAATAGCTGTTTCCTCTCCAGGTGTCATGCATTAACAAGTTTTAGAGTTTTTTACCTTGTTGATGAGGCTGGGATCACCAAGGCTGCTCTCATCATCTTCTGAACTCTTTTGGTCCTCATCTGATGTGACGACTTCCATTGGTATCACGGAGACTGGGCATACCTTGTAGGGCTCAGTGTAGGCACTGCAGAGAAATAGAACGGAGTAACTCAATGGCATTATTCCCAGACTCGCTGTTGCTTAGACACATAGAATCCATGCAGAACTGCAAGGCTTGGAAAACAACCCTCCTTTGCTGGCCCAGAGGATTGAATCCAGCTTTGTTCTGCATGCAGTATCCCTAACCCAGTCTTTATCTCAAGTCCCATGCCCAGCAGTTACTATTTCAAACTCTCAGACAGTGACATTCTTATTGCAAAAAATTAGAATCATAATAACTCTGTGCAGTGATAGTAATTTGGGAGAAGTGATGGGGTGCTGAAGTATCSTGTTTTATTAAAACTGATTATTGATTTTCTTGTATCAATTTGTAAATGATTGTTTTAATTCATTCTGCAAAAGGAAAGCTCATAACTAACTGAAATTAAAGTCCAAATGCATTTAAAGCCAATAAAAGGAAATGCTTATTAGTGCAACATATGTTTAGCCAGTCAGTTCCCTGTTATGGCAGGTCATCAAGGCAAATATCGCATCTGAAGTCTGAAAAGGGCAGGAAAGACATGATGTCCGCTAATAACATACACAGCCTGTCAAGGCAAGGTAACGCAGAGATAACCGCATTTCACACTGCGAGGCATAAGCTGTGCGCTCGCCAAGGACAGAAAGCTGCTCTTTTGAATTCCACCTTTGAATTTCTTCATTTCAATCTAAATTTTGCTCTTTCTTGCATTTTTGTCAAGCAGAGTATAAGAAAGAAGAAGAGGATTTTTGGTCAGGTGCATAAGGCTTTTGCTCTATTCCAGACAACTTTAGGGACAAAACTCTCAGCTTCAACCACTGCTTATGGAGGTACTCATATAATGGCAGCTCTGGCACAAGTCTAGTTTTGGAAGGGAATGCAGGCAGTGAGGAGCATTAAGGTGTTTGGCTCCATCTCAGGGAATGTCCTCTAGCCCAGCCTGGGGCACTATCAGTAGAGAAGGGCTAAGAGAAACCCCGAGAGTCAGGTTTCACTAGCCGTGTCTCAGATGTGCTAGGAGGGCTTAGAGGATTTTGCTTTGAGGTACCTGCACAGCCAATCCACACTTCAGGCTTAGCGACATACCCTGGTGCGCACCGCTGTCTGTGAGCACCGTTACCCTCCCCAGACCTCTGTCTTTAAACCACTAGGTAAAACAAAGTGGCAGTAAAAGCTGGACATGCCTGAAAACAAAACACAGCGTCCTTAGGCCTCAGACAAGTGGCATACCCCCCTTCCTACCCTCCCAGGCACAAGGGAGAGGCAGTGAGCTGTGGTGGCCTCAGCTTGTGCTCAGCCTGGCCCTCTGGCCCTTGTCCYGCATTTCCTGTAAACAGGGAACAGTTCCTCCCCAGAGATGACCTGGCAATGAACTAGCAAGGGCTGACGCTTGGCTGCACCACACCCAGCTCCCCACCATGCCAGAAGGTACAATGGGGCAGCCAATAATACATAATGTGTTATTAAAGGCAGCACTACCCTTTACAGACTTCTTTGAACATATTACGTACATCACATGTCCACCACCACAGACCTTTTACTTTTAATAGATCATTAGTTTCATAGGCACCCCATAGCATTTATACCCAACAGCCCCAGCAGAAGTTTTCCTTAAGATTCTTCTTATGCTTCTCTTTGTCTTCTGTCCCTTGCTAAATCACAGCCCTGTCGATCTCCATCATCCGATTATTCTCTATCTGCGGTTGCTATGTTTACTCCTCACAATGCAAAGGAGAGGAGCGTAATGAAGATCTGTGCTTGGCAGTAACTGAAGTATTGTGCTGTGAAACTACTTCCCAGACCATGTAGACCACTTATTTGCATAATGTTGAAACTCCATGCTGCATTACTGTCAAGGGACAGAAGATAACAAGAAATGCATCTACTAATTATCAGGAAGGGTTTCAAATGATTTATTATGCAACCCCTAGTCACAGCACAAATGGCCTGTGACTTGGAAACCACCCCACACTTTTGCCCTATTCTCATCTATAAAATGACTTGTCTCAGTGACAGTCTGACTTTGGATACAGCRATGTAAAATTGGGGAAGACCCACCCTGACTTCAATGGAGTCACTTTCTATTTATACTTGTTATCTTTGAGCAGAGTAAGACCCTCTGATTTCACTCTGAACTCTCTGTGAGACTTATTCCTCTCTATAAATCAGTGACAAAATAAGCCAGCCACCTAGAAYTTCATTACTAAAGAGCAGGAAAAGATACAAGAAAGAAGTGACCTTCAGCTGGTCTCCTGACGGTCATCTCAGAACATGAGAAGTATACCTCTCCGGGGAGACTGCTGTCTGGGAAGCAAAGCCGAAACCGCTGTTCTGCTACAAATTCTTTGTTATGATCTCTGGCATGTTACTTAACCGTGTTTTGGCAGTCAGCTGGGTAAGGTGGGTGATCCTAGAGCAATGTCACGTTTAAAACACAAGTTAGACCGAAGGCTTGAGATGCCATGGGCCCTTACTGGCGTCTAAACCAGAACCCCTTTGTCCATCTCCCTTGAGGTACAGTTTTACTTCTCTTTTTCCTGTTGACTGCAAACTAAAAGGGATTTCACTTTGTCCTTAAGACAAAGAGGGATGCTTATTTAAAGTAAGGCACGGAGTAATGTTTTCATTCTTATGGCCAAGATGAGATACAGAGAGCTATTTGGAACTATTTAACAATCATGCTTGCTCTTATTGCTGTTTTCTGCTGGGAGTGAGGGTTCTTGAGTTATGGGCTCAGTGCCTTTCAGGCAGCCAAGYCGGTGATTTCTGCACAAAGGCACATACTGGAGAAGAACACCGATAATGAAAGATTTAAGCAGTGCTACCTGCCCAAAGAATTGGAATTTATAAAAACACCACAGATAGACACTTCAGAAAAGGGTCTGGGTAAATCATTGTGTGGGAGTTTTGCAAATGGAGCCGAGCAGAACCAAGGCATGTTCGTCACACACAGCACTCTCTTGGAGGTGTTCAGTGTTAGTGGATGGTTCTGCTGTCTTACAAGCACGATAAACAGCTTTAAAATTTTATATAGGTAAGACTCTGGTCGAGACTCTGGTCTTCATAGCTGCACAAGGAGGTTATTGACTACAGTGAGCTCCACAGAACTAGAATACCCTTACAAGTCCTCCTCCTTAGTGTGTCTAGGTTTGTACACTACAGCAGTTGCTCTGTAGTTTTGCACATGTAGTTCTGAAACTCAGAGCACAGCCAGGACTACACTGATTAATTCCGGAATCTAGCCTGGATGAGATGTGATTAAGTGTCAGTTAGGCAAAAGTGATCATCATAGTAGCAAATGGATCCAACTCATCACAATCCTTTCAGAATATCCCGTTTAACATAATCGTAAGTGATAACAGCAGTGAAAACTCAGATGGCAGCTTGGAAATGGTGTCAGTGAAACAAAAACACGAAGTTGAACTTGAATCAATCACCATTTGCTGCAGCCAGAATTTTCAGTGATCAGTTTACTAATGGAAATTTCAGTTCTTGACACCTGATTCCAAAAGACATCGGAAGCGGTGAAAGACAGAGGCATTGCTTTCGTGGTAGAAAATATTGCCTTTTTTCAAAAGCTGTTCAGAGTTGTATTGGGAAAAGACTAAAAATTAGTATTCCTAAAACCTTTTAGATGACAGAGAAAATAATATTTCCAATGCAGGTAATGACAGTTTCCAGAATTAGTTTTCTTTCTTTTCAAAAAAAAGCATATTTTATTTTAAAATTAGGAAAAGTAGCAGTAATACAATGCTAATACTTGACAAAGTCTGAATCTGCTATGGTAGACAAAATACTAATGTCTTGCAAGTAGTGCCTTGCTTAGAAGTGAAATTACAAACACCTTGCACAACAATGAGTCCTAATAAGAGAATTACCTCTAAGAATTGTTACAGTATTACTGATTTTAATTTCATTCATGCATAAGTAGAACAACGGTTGGTTATGCACATAGGGAAATAAGGGCAGAACACGGTGTTTCCAAAGTGGTATTATGAACACTCTTGCTTTGTAGTTGTAGGAGCAGGACACTCTTGCTTTGTAATTGCCATTTCCAAAATGGAAATGACACTCGTCATGTATAGCTTTAAGATGCCCCTTTCAATGCAGTAACGAGTCTGCCAGATCCAGCAGCACAAGAGYACCCAGGTGTGCAATGTGAGTGTCTTCAGCAGCAGCTGGCAAGAAGAGCAGAGTGCTTCATAAATTTCTGTCCTGCAATTAAAGAATCAACCTGGCAGTAACTTGGCATAAACTCATCATTTGACACATGCCTCTGGCTGAGAATGGTACTGAATTTAGAGGGGAGCTAAGGGAAAGGGATAGGACCAGTAGATGCTGATAAGTTGCTAAATACAAGTGCTCTGCAGGTGAATGCACCAAAAAGAAGTTCATGGGCTCAAATGCCATGTGTTGCAATGGTTTAATCCAACACACTCATGCTCTCAAACAGTTCAAAATAGCCTCTGGACAGGACCAAGCTGCAGTTCAAAGTAATTTTTATCCCTGTGCAGTTGTGAGTGATGTTTCATAGGTATCCTTACCAGAAATCTTAAATCCATGGCAAGGTATTTTAGGCTAAACTGCTTTAGCAGCAAATAAAATATTCATGTTCATACAATCTGCTTTGCTTTACATTTAGATCATACACTGCTTCAAGTCCATTATGTCACTGGATGTGTATTTACACAGGATGTGTATTTACACTTCATCAAAACTTTTCAGGCATGCCTTTGTCCAAAACGTGCTCACAAATACAGCAAATAACAGCTATCGCGGCGGTAATTATGTCTGCTCAGTGCTCTTCCCCTCCACCCTGGTTATCTTGATAAAGGGGCTGTACAGGAGCCTAGCCTTCACTTCACCCCCAGTGGCAGAAACTGCATGCMCAACAAGCTGTAGGCTGAAGAATTATGTACACGCCTTGACCTTACGACTTCCTGAACCAGTTTGGATTGGCTCTCCCTTTGAAACTACAGGCTTCCACAGGAAGTTCATAAATGGGCCCAAGTCACAGCAGTTGACGTAGTCCCAATATTCTTAACTTGGTTCTTTGAGAACTAGCTAAAATGGGTGGAGTTTCATGGGCACAAAGAACTGGCCGGCTTTTTCAAAAGCAAATGTCACTGTGCTGCAAACCACTAAAAGCACATACTGCAGCTTTTGCTGCTCTGGGAACGCGGTGGTGCGTGTTGTCGGGAAGCTGCACCGTGCTGCAGCACAACTCTGCGTCAGCATCACCGAAGCTCCCATCCCTGCAGGCCGCTGTCATCTCCGAAGAGCTAAACCAGAGGCCTGTGTCCCACATCTCTCAGCTTCAGGTGCATTTGGATCCACCGCTTAAGCCTTGATGCAATCTTTTTTCCCGTGTCGTACTCACAACCCCGCGTAATTTGYGTCTTAGAAGCGGTTCGCAAGACTCATTCAGAGGTGAGGAAAAGGAAGGTTATTTGACTGCCTAAGTCCGAAATACCCTAAAGAGGGGTGTGTGAAATGCCTGTGGTCTGCTCCATCCACAATGGCAAGACAGAGGATCAGAAAAAATAAACATTGCAAAGAAACATGAGTATTAAATCTTTTGGAGAACGATGGATGGAAATGGACATGAAAACCGTACTTTAAAGAAGATTTTTATCTTTTTCACACAGCTCTAACAAAATGCAACTGCATTAAAGACATTCCTTTTAATTTATTTGCTCTGTACCTCATTTTCTCATTACCCATTAAACCTAAACTTAATGGAAAATACTCTTCTTTTTTACATGTCTGCATTCCACTTACTGTATGCTGTCATCTGACAACAGGTTTTCAAATTAAAAGGCGTCAAGTGCATTGCTCCTACATCCCTATGAAAAAGACATTTTTTGGTTGGCAAATAACCTAACAGTCAGGGATGAAAGATTGCTATTAATGTCAGCAGCGCATATGAATTTCAGACAGAACCATTTAATTAATTTATAAATTAGCAGCTCTGTCCAAGGGCCATGATAGCCCTTAAAGCAGCTTCTAAAATTACCTGTCTAATCTGATTAGCTTACGATTTGGGATTTTCTAGTCTATACTTAACTGTTGTACTTTGAAACATAATTTATGTATATATGGGTGTTTAAAACAAAACTGACAGGAATTAAAAAAAATAAGCAAGACCCCTTCCAACAGATAGGCTCTCTTTTCATTCAGTCAAGAAGTTGGAAACCTTTCTTACCCAAGAACAAAGCAAGCTCTCCCTGTTCCACCTGCCAGCCACAAAAATTAGATCAAACTGGATGAAACAAATATTTTTGAATGTTCTTCGGTTTCTGCCCGCAATTCATAGCGTCCAGATCCAGTAACAATTTACAAGGTAAGGAGTTAATTTGGTGTCTTTTTTTTTTTTTTTTTTTTTTTTTTTTTTTTTTTTTTTTTTTTTTTTTTTTTTTTACTGATAAAGGTTTATCTTGTATTCTTCCAACCTTTCTTGTAAGCGTTTCCTGAGAGGGGTATAAGTCACCCAGCATGGAGAATATGTCTATGATACCTAGCAGGGGAGGCCTTGCCCGTTTGGCCAAGGCTAGCAGGTCTTACATAGTAATTTATTACAGTACCTTTCTGTTTCCTGGTCTGTGGTTTGCTGCTTGTTCTCAAAGCCAGCGAAGTTGCTCATATCCACATAGCCGTCATTCTCATTAGCGGCAGATAATGCCCTGCTGGGATCTTCAAAAAACTCAGTAAAAGTTCCTGCTCTGGTGGATCTTCGAGGAGGAATTTGTATGTTTTCATAGTCAGAGCTCATAGCAGGAATATTCTCATAATCAGATGTGTCAGCATTGGGAAAAGAAATTGACCTAGGTTTCGTTAATGGGAGCGGCATGAAAGGAGGTCTGGACCGGTCCTCAAAGGATTCCACCCTCGACACGCTCCTGCTGAATGCCTTTGGCATTCCTTTTCTTTTATCATCCTTATAGAAAAGAACAGCTGAAGGAGACTCAGATGCACGGAACTTCCCCACATGTGATTTTAGCTGAGGTGAGCTACTTAGGCTCCTCCTATCCAACTCCATCAGCCTTGGAGGCCCATGATAGCTGGACTCCGATGAGGACCTTGAAGAAGAAACGTTAACATCAACGTGGACTTTATTTTCACTTTTCTTCTTGAACTTTAAAGTGAGAAACCTTTTAAAAGAAGATTTCTTTTTTTTGGAATACCTATCAGGTGAATCACTCTCTATCAAAAGTGAAGGTGAACTTTTAGTGATTGGTTTTTTGGTGATATAGGCAAGTTCAAATGGAGGTGGTATATCAACAACTGAGGACGGAGTAGATACACCACATGATGAAAGATGATTTTGCTGGGAAAAACTACCTGAGGAACCATTGATGCAAGGCAAAGACAARTTATCCTCTGTCCTTTTTATTCCAATGTCATCCAGTACACATACATCATTTTTTCTGTAAACGGAGATAGGTATCTCTCTCCCTTCAACAGAGTAAGATCGAGGATATAAAATAAAGCGTTTTGACTTGGTTGGTAAAGCCCTGTTGGCTTCCATTGGTTTTCCTTCTGATGAAAAGGACTTATTGCTTAAGTCTTCTGTCCCACAGCCATTTCGAGAAAATGGTAACTCAGTTTCAGGTCCAGTTTCCTCTGGAACAGTTTCTGGGACATAGCCTGGCATTCTCCCAGAGAGAGACCGTGTTCTAGTGACAGTACTTTTACAATCAATTGGCAGCAAGGTGTTTTCACCATCCATGCCTAATTCACTCCTTTTACTGCGATCAGCTCCTAAATCAGTCGGCAGATCGTGGGCAATTTCATTTTCTTCAGGAAGCACGTAAGGATCATCTAGGGAATCATTGCTAGTTTGTCTTTCCCCTGATTTGTCAGTCACAATGACCACTTTAGGGACTGCTARATTTTGATGCAAAACATATTTGGTCCCACATTCTACACTCGTTTTGCCATGCTTACAGCTTTCTAAGTCTTCTTCAAGTGGGACTTCTTGAGGTGAACTTGGGACACTTTTGCTGAGGCCATCTGCTTCCACCTCATCGTCCTCAAGTTGCAACTCATCCGACTTAGAGGCTTCCACGGTACTTTTACAATTGTCTTCAACAGTCACATCTTCCAGCTCTGGCTCCATCCGTGGACTACAAGGTAGACTATCGGAAAGCATACCATCTTCCTGCAGGGAGGCCCCTTCTGTTTGAAGGTTCTCATCTGAGTGTTCCACGGGTATGTCCTCACCACAGTCATTCTCACCATGTGCAATTTGACAGCCATCATCAATATTCTCTGCATTCGTAGTTCCTTCTTCCCCTTTCCCAGAGTCTTTGCTTGCTTCACAGGCTACCTCCGATGTCTTCTCACTTCTCCTCTCAGTGATCTGGCACACATCACTGGTATTTCCTGCGTTTGTGTTATTGTGCTCATCTTGGTCTACTTCCTCCTCCTCAGCTGCTGCTTGATGGGTGAACTCTGCTAAACCATTTTTGGTATTGGGTTCATCTCCACACAGTTCTAAGCCAGGAATTGTTTCTTCACTGGCCTCCTCATGCAGCACATCAGGGCTTGCAGAGTCATTGTTTTCTACCTCCCCTTCCATGCTCAAATCAAGTTCTGCATCTACACTGCGGTCATCGTTATGTGCTAGACACCYATCTGCCATTTCTAAAATCTCAGGCAGTTCCTCCTCCTCCTCCTGCCCTGTCTTCTCATAAGCTGGGTTTGATTCATCTGCAGGCAGTGGCCCTGCAATGATATTTCTACATGTATGACTCATTAGTTTCTCATCTCTATTCAAAATGTTATCACTGTCAGTCTTACAATCACTAGTGTTCCTGACCGGTTCCGGGTTGTTAGAAGTTTCCTGCCTGTTTTTGGTTTCAATACAATCACCTGCAACAGTCTCACCTATATCTACATTCTTGGAAGCATTGTTATCCCCATCTGGGGCATCTAAGGACTCCTCACAAAGTGCTTTGGACTGGTCACAGTCTCTGGTTGAGTCCTCAGAGGCCGGTTGTCTCGGTTCAGCGGTATCTGAAGAGTTACGGTGCTCATCTTCGATGACATTTTGATTACTAGTATTCTCATCACTAGCAATGTTATCACCTTCCTTCTCTACCTTTTCTGGAGTTTCTGAGACTTCATTTTCCACAGAGCAATCTAGCCTCTGATCATGTTCCAAATCACTACAGTCTTTGATGGTCAACTGAGTTTCAGGAACTACAATGTATTCATTATCTACCTCAGATTCTAGGCATTTGGCATTGCATCGGTTTCCTTCATACGGCTCTTCATCGAGACACAGCAGTTTCCCATTTGAGCATTCATTTAAATTCTTGTCGGTAGAAACACTGGATTTGTCCTCGGCATCAGCTGAGAATTTTGGTTTGGGAGCAATAGGTGGTTTGGGACCCCTAGGCACAGAGTTCGGGTTATGAAGAATATCCGCTTGTGGCAGTGAAGGCGAAAATTTGGAGACAGCGACTGGAGAAAGATGACCAATAATCTTTGGTTTCGGTGCTAATGGTGGTTTTGAGATTTCTGGAGAAAAGAGACAAAAATCACGTTAGTCATCTTGGTTTCTTATTAAAGCCAGCAGAATATATCCCACAGTAGACTTTATCTGTGATTTGTAATGCAGAAGTAGTCAGCCAATAAAAGGCTGAGCTCTGAAAAGAGAACCGAAGGAGCAAAGCATATGGAATGTCCTTCCWTGTGGCACTTTAGCCATTCCAGGGAGCATAGTTTAAGGTTGAAACTGAACACTAGCAGATGCAGCCCTAGCACACCTGGAGAAAGATGTGCAGCTGCAGAGCAAGGGTGTATTATATGACGGTACCCACAGATGTGTAACACCGCCTGCACTCAGAAGTACTGATAATATAAAGAGACCTTTTGTTTATGCCACAGAAATGTTTGCCAAATCATAAAATATGAACACTTTGATTCAATGATGCCTAAGCGCTTCACTTAATGTCTTTTGGCCACGCTAGTTGTTCACGTAACACAGTACGAACACATTGTAATGATGACTTTCATTTCAATAGGTAGTTTGCAGAATTTCGGCATTGAACACTGTTAGTTCTACCAAGAGATTAAGGTTTAGCTCAACCTAGCCAAACGGAAGTCTCGATGGCAAGACACATCGTCTTCCCATCTTCCCTTACCACGGTAAAGAAATAGGGAGTTACATTTAGGTTGTCAAACATAACCGTAAGGGATAAGATAGCTGGCTAAAAGGTTGGCCAATACTTTACACTGATTATGCAACTGAGCTGTAATGAACCGAATGAAATACTTCAGCCCAAAACACGAAGACAGTTACTGGTTTAAACTTGAGTTCTGTTTTCAGTCCACAGCTTCTTCGCCCTTTAGTCAAAAGCTTCTCCATTCCTCCTGTAAATGTCAGGATCCCTTGCAGGTACTATCTTCTCTAAACATCAAAATGTATATTAAAAAGTTAATTATCTCGCAATGTAAGGCCAGCCTTGTATTTCTAGCGGTTGTGCTAACACATGWGTTGGGGAAATCAAGCAGACTGACAATAAGCTAGATTGAAGCTATTGAATTAAATCACATATATCTCGCTATTTTACTCAAGGTACTTTGCCTGCCACAGCCATTTCCAGCTGTCTGGGTCCTAAAACTAATATACTCCAAAAACTAAATGAAATGCTGAAAGACTGCATAAATAGCCAGCAATAGGGATCCTCCCTTGAGAGATTTTTGATGAGATGAAATATGTAGTGTGAAGAAGACAGCATATGGTTGCAGATGGTAATAAGCAGAGAGAAGTGGTTTCCTCCTATGGCTGCTCTCTAGCCATCAATAGATAATTACATGGTTAAGGAATCAGAAGTCTCTATTTTTATAATTTTAATTTACACATTGTAGTAGAAAAAGGACAAATCTCCATGGTAAGGAAAAGCACAGGACAAACTATTTCATCATGACAGAGACAGAAACTATTCTTTGCACATAATCTTCAAGCCCTACAGACAAGAAATAAGGATGCAGCATCTCGGTGACAAAATTTGGGGTTCCTATGTAAAACCCCATCCAAAATCACGGTATAAGTTTTAGAAAGCGTAGCTTCTGTGCTGTTGCATTTAGAGCATTTCGAAATGCAAGCTTTTGATGCGTGGAAGTGCAAAAAGGAAAAACTGAGGAGGGCACTATACTGAGAATAAAGGAATACTGAGTGCAAACTGCTTGAAAAAAGTTCTCTGATTGCCCTGATACTTGTTGGCATGGCACTTTTTTTATCGTTATCTCAGTATAATTGGAGTAATTTGTACTCATCTAATAGCGGCCAATTTCTTGGTTGGACTCTAGCAGACATAAAAGGCTGTTTCTTCTGATCTTCACCTTTCTGATATTTGTGCAATACTCAGGTAGAAGCTGACAATTTGGCAATTTGATATAATCAGAAAACAGTCTTTTCAGAGTTAGGGGACACGAAGAGTTTTCATCTAAGTTAAAAACGGAATCAGTGATCCCAGTCTAGCCCAGAAGGAATGGAAAGTCTGCTCTAATTAGGTGCCTTATCACATATACTGCCTAAGAATTATTCAGTATCTGGAGATATCCAGCTGCAGGTGAGAGACTTAAAACAACTAATGGAAAAGGCGGTGGAGAGAACCGTGTATTCTTAATTCTGCAGACTGTGTACTGTGGCCTTTCACAGCATACACTTCTATTCTAAGCTGAAGGGTGTCTGTCTAATCACAGAATGGATAACTCATCTTTCTCTCCCCGTTATGTCGAAAACTTTATGTGCCAAACGCTCCACTTTTGCCGAAGTAACGCCGCCATTTTTGCAGGCACCAGCTGAATGCCACAGAGTGCCAAAAACTCCTGCCAGTTAAAAACAGGGATGGAACAGAGGTGGATTTAGTACCTCATAAGCATGGCTCCCCAGCAAGATCTACCTTTTGCATTTTAATATTAGTTATTGAAAACACTGAATATCCTAAACTAACTTTCTGGTAGTAAAAGGAATGAAGTTTTTAATAGCTAAAACTGAGTCTTTACACCTTTACCACCATAATAAGACATTTTTAGGACCAACTCCGAGAAAGAATCATCACTTTCGAGGTCCCACACCACTTTCTGTAGTGTCTAGCCTTTGCTAGGAATCTGTATCAAAGAGTAGCATACAAATACACCTAGTCTGTTCCTGGGATGTGGAGATCCTTGATCTTGTCAGAAAGTGTCTGTACTGAAACGGCGTATAATGAGGAAAAGGCTGGACTGTAGAGAATGCTGGAACCTTCCAAGCTTTGTCTTATAAACAAATTCGAAATAATGTCATGAACTCATTTCCCTTAATTAAAATAACCATGGAGACATCCACCTCAAAGAAATGCAGTTTAAGCAGTTACCCAGTTTCCCTCCGGTGATAATTTTCTACCGCAAAAGGATCAAACAATCTTGAGTTTTTCGTCTGCTACCTTCAGTCAACCTGATGTCGGAAGACAATTTATGGTAATGGACTCTCTTCACAGTATGGTAATAGGCATTGCAATGTCCTTCTCTTGCGACAGCTACCAGTCACTACCGATACCTTACACAGTTTTATTCCTAACTGCTTTGTCCATTGATCTTGCCTGTCACAAGGCCCCTTAAATAATTTTCCTTTTTCTTTGGTGGGGATGTGAGGGAGAGGCAGTGGGCCGAGTGCAAATGTTTGTTTAAAAAATAACCCGAACAAAAGAAAGCACAGCTTCTTGCCTTTTATCACAACAATTTCATTCTGCTTCAATTTCTGCTTCCTTTGCCGTCTGAGCCACTTGAACCGTTCTGGCTGTAACTTCTAAATGGACACAATGCAACATTGCACCATAAGTAATGCGCACGCTCACAAATAATTGTGCGTGTTTATTTTAGGATGCATTTTATGTTGGAGGGAGACACACCCACCTCGTGCTTAAAAGGAAACTCTTCGGGAATACAAATTCCTTTAGCCTGCTCCTCCCCTTATTGTTCGATGCTTCCTTGTACTGACAAGGACCGCTTCCTCTCCTTACCCACCTTCCTCCAAGCAAGCCCGCATAGTTCCATTCCTGCCGTGGCCCATATGAAATCACATTCCCTACGTCTCCTCCTGTTCAAGTTTCCTAGCAGTGAACAGTAACCTAGTAGCTCTCCTGGAAGAGCAATGAACCCACGTAGCCTTCACTGTTCAAGTGGGGTTTTTTGAAACAATATACATTTCGTATTGGGGTATTACCAGAAATACTGTAACTACCCACTTTCAAATGTTTTCAAGTTTAGGATTTCAAATTTAGCCTTGAATTTAATGAAACCACCACTGAGACCTGGCTAAACACTGAGGTTTCCCATTTGCCCTGTTATTTGCAGTCATGTCCCAGGGCCACGCTCTTTGTGACTTTGTGAGAAATTACGTAGCTCCACAGTGCACATAGCGGTTCCAGCTTTGAATGATGCTGCAATCCAGTTCAGGCTTCTCTTAAGATGATGAAAGTAGTTTTTTCTGACCAACGAACTTTTGTAGACCTGTATTTTCTTCATGCCTTTGGCTTAATTCAATTCAAACATATGTTAAAATGGGAAAGACATTGAGGACAGAGGGCAGAAATGCATTGTTCGGGGATTTGCAGAGCTTTTGGATGGAAGTGACTGACGGTAGAAGTGAAGGGACAATATTGCAATAGCGGGATGGGACTGCACCAAACCCAGAATCCCAGCAGAAACTAGTGGCAGTCTTGTCTGCCACTGCTTCTGCCCAGGAAGAAGGCAAATTGAAATCCACAGATGGAAAGTGCCTGAGAAACAGGAGCTAGAGGGAGAATATCCAGACAAGGACATCAGAAAGTCTCACTCAGCTCTGAGCAGGAGCTTTATAATTTCACGTGGCTATATCAGAATGAAGTTAAAATTGATTTTCTACATTGGTCCAAAGTCAGCAAAAGGTGAACTATATAACTTAGTGTCATTGTTATTTTAACCCTGAAATTAATTGTTCATTTTAAAAATAAAGTACTTACTTCCAGTTACTGCTGCCTCGCTTCTATCTCCAGCTTGTATCCTGAACATTTATTATTGTTTCTTCCATTGGGTTAAAGACTCTTATTCTTCAGTCTTTCTCTAAGGAAGATATATACTTCCCTACAGCTATGTCCTGGTCGGTTCTTCTTCAGTTTTGTAAACGGAACAAATCTTAGAAGTTGGACAATTTTGCCTATCCCAAAGTCTTTTCTTTTGTTTTTTCTCTAAACATTTTTTTAATTTTCCAGTAGCTGCCATAAAAATACATGGGGCAGTCCCTCGAGACCAATTCCACAGTGCACATCTATGACGCTGTATACAATGTTCAGTACTTTCCTGGAYCCAAATCTCACAATTCTCCGTTAGCTCGTTACTGTATCAGATTGATCTGCTAGTCCATTTTGACCTCTAAATTGTTACCAGGGCTCTCTATYGCCTCAAAATTCATGGCTTTATAATAGGTATGACGTATCATTTGTTTGAGGGGATCCAACTTAATGACCCAGAGTTGTTTATATAGCTGTCCCGCCTATTTTGTCAGCAACCCTTTCACCAATGCTCACATCATAAAGTACACTTTGTTAYTTTACACATTTTTGTTTGCTTTCCTACTGAGAAAAATGATGTCCTGGTCCCTCCACTATGCGTACCACCATTTGATAATGTTAGAGAGATAACTATTACAGACATTCGGTACTGCCAACGAGCAAGTCGTTAGTCTTTATTTCTGTTATATAAATGTTTTTATCTTAAATCAGAACGCGATACTGAAATAGTACACASATCTTAATGTATGTCTTTGAATGTATACAGTTGCCATTATCAAGCAGATCTGTATGTTCTTCCAAAGACTGGGATTAAATTCCCCATTGGAGGCAAGCAAAGTATCACTCCAGAGGAAACGGTAATAAGCAACCTTAAGAACAGCAGTAAATACAGAAATTTCACCTGCGAAAACACTATTAGAGGCAAAAATTATTTGGAGCAGGAAGGATAGAAGTTATTTCACGGTAGCATTTCTATTTTATGAAATAGACAACGACAGAAAACAGCAAAGATCTTATCTCCATACCAGCGGCCACCATGCTCTTGGCTGTCCCTCATATAAGAGAGCAACGGCACTAAGGGCTCTTACTGCTGACAAAAGGAACACGTGCAAAGTGCTGCACAACCCCAGAAACTCACGGAAAAAATCTGACTGCACTATGAAGTCATAAGTAGAAAATTTTGACATCTCAGCTATCAAAACCACACCAAGTCCTTAACAAAACAGAAGAGAGAGGAAATTCTATACCCGCATCTGCTTGTCTAATACACGCATTTGTCTTCTGACCATAGCGCTTCCTCCTTACAGAAGAACTTTTTCTCAGAGAACGGTAGACAGAGCTTCCTATCAAAATAACACGTAACTTTACCATAAGTGAAATGGACAGCTCTTGTCTGCAGATGAAGAGCTGCATTTGGACCAGGCCAAAACACGGGCACCAAACACTATAGTAATGCTGCCAGAAATGTAAAGCAAGCCAAGCACGGTCTCCTAAAACCCACTTATTATATTTCCAGTACATAACGTTGTACGTTCCAATATGTAATTACAACTCTATCAACTATCGAAGTCAGATAGCGAGGGCATGTTCGAGCTGCCTCTGAAGATAAGCCATTTTAACGTCATTAAGTACCCGACCTAAGCTCCGTAACCTGCTTCAATATGTTAGAGATTTAAATAGATGAGGTAGCATGATTTACAAGGAAAGTATAAATCCTTTGAGGGGGTTCAACTCATAAAACATCAATGCTGTCACCAGTAGCATTCCAAGATGTACTGTTAATAAATGAGATRTCATCAATTGTGCAATATTTGATGCAGAAATAGTTCTCTTTGTTTTACAGCATATAAGCGTATCACTTATTTGATACTACCAGAGAAAAGTCTGAGATTTCAAAAGTCACATAAGAAATGACAGCAGTTGCATGGGAGTCACTTGAAATGGAAAAGGTATTCAGCCCAGGATTTTCAAATGATGTAAGAGTGTAAGTCTTCCTTTCAAATGGGCTTTCAGGAATAGGTATCAGTTTGACCTGAAGAGGTATTAGGTACTTAAGTGACTTTTGAGAATTTGGACTTTAGGAACTTGAAATCCGAGGTCCCGATCAAAATCGGCTGGTCATTGGCCCCTAAATGCCTCAGTTACTTATGAAAATGGTATTTCAAGTTCTGCATAAGTCTGACACTTTTGAGAAATATCTGTCCTCTCTTATCAGTATATGTTCTTGTGATCAAGATACAGGTACTCTGTATGTAGCAGGAAGGCTCCACAGTGTGAAGATAGACCTACAGTCAGCGGTAACAATTCCCATGGGAATTTTGTCTTCTTAGAAGTCATAACTGCAATATTAACAGCCTGGCTGTCAAAACACATCCCACTCTGCAGAAATAAAATGCTGCTATGTACAGTTACTGAAATTCATTCCCTGTGATTAAATCAATGCATTATGACTCGGGGATATCAGATCAATAGCTTACAAATTTCTTTCACCATATAACTTTACCACAGTCATCTGTAAATAGAATACGACAGCATAACATCCCACAGTGAAACACTGTTGGAGAAGGGAAAAAAATCAAAAGGCAATATAATCAGGAAGGGRTATGATTCAACACAAAAAAAAATCTTGATCCTGAAAGTTACCCAGTGTTTTCACGGTCTCCAGCAGACTGTACATACAAGCCTCGCCGGTGGGCCCAACTATGAAAAACTACACGCACAAGACAAACAATTTTGCTGCTAAACTACTGCCATAGATTTCTTTTTAGTGTTCTTGTAAGTGTTCACAATGTTACCAGTTTGGCTCTGTTTTCACAACTAACATGGAAGCAGATGACCTGTTGTGTCATATATTGCTTCCTAGGAGCCAAAGAGGATGGTTAAAATTCTCTGAGAGGTACATACAGCATCTTTTCCTATATCACTTCCAGTAGCAGCTGCAAGAATATATAGTCCACTTATATCTCTGAACAATCTGGAGCCTAAAGTCTGCATGTTTTTCCTAYGGGCAGCATCATTTCGGCACCTAGCGAACGAGAGGCCGGACGCTCCTATGCTTGAGGCCGGTCCGGTCTCTCGTCTCTTACCACAGATTTCCTGCGGACTCGGGCGGATCGCTTCGTCTTCCTTTTCACATCGGTTCTGCATCTCTGCGGATAATCTATATCTCCCTTCCTGTCGTCTGTCTGTCTGTCATTATTTTAACTTACGCGGGATCGAGGTTGCCTCATATGTCTGCGCGTATGACTCTACTTACTGATGCTATGTATTACTTACTGTAATACGAAGATAGCCAATGCTGGTGCCCGAGTTGTATCAGTCAATAAGTACCCTTCTCCTTCAGATTCAATGGGAAGTTCTGCTTTGCACCGCTTTGATGGGGGACACATTCCTTGTATTGTGTGAACATACTAAACAAAGGCCGAGAAGGGATATGAGCCCTCTATAAATACAACCTGGACGTAAACACCAGAAGAGGAAAGAACTATTTTTAAGCAAGAGGACAATGTAATCGCAAGAATAAATGGTGTCGAATCTGATCTGGAAACCAGGACTAGCAGGAGAACTACCTGAAAAGTTTTTGTTGAAGATATAATTGGAGGAATTAATAAAAGGCATGGTAACAACAGGTGCTGCTTTTGTTAATGAAGGTAGTCCCATTTGGTCCTACATACCTGAAAAATAAAAACTGCTAATAAAGTTTAAGTCTTTATAAATGGATACATCTGATATTTCTTACCCTGCACTTCCACTGACAACAGGAGTAGATTAGAGCGGGTCTGTTTTAAATAATGGAAAGATGAAGAAAGAGGTAGGAGCATCATGGCTAAAGCAATTTTTGTCTGGCTTACCTAATTTTCAAATGAGTTTGTCTCCTGGGAGGGACAGAGGACAGTTCAGATCKGGATCAGAAAATAGCATGGAATATCACCAGATTTTAGTGAGGTGTCTCACTCCCCGCTCCAAGAGGAAATACAACCTTTTGCTTTAAACTCGGGGGAGTGGTATAAGACTGATACAACAACAGAGGGCTGGGTTTGACCTAAAAGAGCTTTTCCAGTCCTATGTTCCTATGCTTTGGCAAACAATGATTCACAGTTTCCCGAACAGTTGTACGGCAAGGTATCTAGCAGTAAAATCTCTGGGCTTCAGGATGTACCTATTCATTGCGAGCGAGGTGCCCAGCAATATTCACTTGAAACAAGGAAACGCAACCGAATATTTTAGGGCTAACAAAAAAGGGCTGTTGCTCTTCATCTCTAATTCTAGATGCAGCATTAAATTTTTCTAAATAACTCCACTGAGCAATAATTGTTTCCCAGATTGTTATGTTTTTCACGTTTTTCACACACCTCACCCGTGAAAGTCAGAAAGTGCGGGCGAACGGTTTAAAGTTTGCCCCAATCTCCCGGTGGCTTTTTAAAATGTTTTAGCTGCTGAATGCCTCGTTCCCTTCTTATTCTCTTTCACTTTCCCAGCTTCCATGAAGGAAAAAATTCTGAAAAGTTAACAGAAAGCAGGAGGAAGGGTTTGGGTTTGCCTTAGAGAGAAAATTCTGCAAAAACCGTTACCTTCCCTCCAAAATATACTTTAGGAAACAAAGTCACAGCAAATTCCCTAGGAGCTTCTTGAAGGGTTCAGCGTATCCGACGGAGTAGCGGGCGCACAGCCGCGTCCTTTAGCAGGCGCAGCCTTGCCGGTCTGTCAGTCCGGTCGTACCCGGTTGAACCTCACCTCGCCCACCCTTTCTGCTCGATCCCTTACCGGCCGGGCAAGCAATAGGGCACTCACAGCCTCGGGGAGCCATTGACCACCTGCCGGATCGCGGGGGAGAGGAGGGCGGGACTCCGGACGGAGGGTGCCTGGAGGAGAGGTGCCAGCCCCAGCGGCATCACCCAGAACCTGCCGGCCCCCAAGGAAGAATGCCGGGACGAAGGGGGATGCGAGCCTCGGAGGAGCCGTGACCAGGCAGGGACCGCCATCCTGGCCACGGGATGTGCCGGCCCGAGGGAAGGAGGGTGCCGGAGGAAGGAARCCCGCCCGGCGTATGCCTGCCCCGGGGAAAAGACGTCCAGAAGCAGAGACCCTTCCCGGCGGGCCCGCGCACTTACCAGCGTTGTTCATCTTCCACCCCAACTTCGCTCGCCGGCTGCCCCGGGCGCTCAGCGCATGGTCCCGGGGGCCCCACCGCCCTCGCCCCTCGAGGACGCGCCCGGCCCTACAACCCTCGCTGGGGCACGGGAACGCAGCGGGACGGCCGGACGCGGACGGCAGGCTGGGCGGGTGGCGGTGCTGGCCGGGGGCGGTCAACGCCG